TAAATCCTTGAAAATCGGTAAGTTCGATGATTCCAGGAAAATTCTATTGAAATTGAATTAATATAATTTTCCATCGCATTGAGTTATGCATGAATGAATCTGGAGAATGATAAGTTTTCTAAAAATAATAACGACGTCGCTATTAAAGGTTAAAGCTAGCCGTAGGGTTGTCAACATATTACGTTTATAAAAAAAAATATGTGAAGCTTTTTTTGTTCCGCGGGATAAGTATTTTTAATCATATCCTTTTCTAGTTAATAACTATAGTATTACCAAATGTAGGATAAGTAGTTTTATTTAAAACTATTGTTGAAAGCACCACTTTATTTTTTTTTTTTTTGAATTGACTATTACGTATTGTGTTCCTATGGAGCCACGAATACTAACCGGGCGTTTTGGGCGAGCGCGAGAGCGCTCGCCGTGTTTGCGGCTAGACCAAGGGTGCCCCGAGGGGGGCAACGGCCTCGGCTTGGACCGCCGCAATGCGGGTGGGAGCTTGAGGAGCTGGACGGAAGCTCACCCGGGTGAGCGGTACGCGTAGCGAATGACCTCGCCTACGCCGGCGTAGGCGGTTTTGCGGGCGATCGGCACCGGTGTTAGCCGATCGCATAGCGGTAAGCACGTCGACGGCTTTCGTTAGATTGTCGTCGGGATCGGTAAGGACGTTACGCGGCCTTCTCCAGCGTGTATTGATGGGAACGGTGTAGTTGGCGGCCCGGGCCACCAGTGGGTTCGGATGCGTCGCGGCTTTTTTGAAGAAACGCTCGGACGTTTCCTTGAAGTACCGACTGAGGGTCGGTAATTCGAGATCGGCGTGGAGATCTGCATTCCGCACGCACCAGATGGCTCCAGTGGCGGTTCGAGTGAACCGATTCTGTAGCACCTGGAGCCTGTGGAGTGTGCTAGGGGCGGCGTGGGCGAACGCGACGCTGGAGTAGGTGAGAATCGGACGAATACAAGTTTTGTACAGCGTAACTTTGTGTCTGAGGGACAACTTGCTACGCGCGCAAATTAGGGGATATAGCCTGCTCATGACGTAGCAGGCTTTACGACGGACTCGATTGACATGTTCGCGAAAGGTTAACTGTTTGTCAAGCGTGACGCCTAAATATTTGGTCGATTTTTGCCACGGAATGTCTTCGCCGTAGAGCTTGACATTGGCGGGGCGTCTACACGGTTTAGTACGTGTACTGAGGGGCCTACGAGTAAAGTAGATTGCCGCACTCTTATCGGGGTTGACCTCGACTCTCCATTTCCGGAACCATGCGCCTAGGGCGTCGGTCGCGGTCTGGAGAGTGGAGACGATCCGCTGCGTTTTGCAGTCGGTGGTGTAAACGGCCGTATCATCGGCGAAAAGCGCAAGATGGGCTTTGGCGGTTTTAGGGATGTCGCTAGTAAAGAGCGAGAATAGAATTGGCGAGAGAACCGATCCTTGCGGAAGGCCTGAGCGAAGGGATTTCGGAGTGGAGAGGGCGCCCTCTACCCGGAAGCGGAAGGAGCGATTCGACAAGAATGAGTGGATAATTCGCACCATTCTGTCGGGCACACCGATCTGGTATAGCTTGTATAACAGACCGTTATGCCAGACTTTGTCGAACGCCTTCGCTACATCGAAAAAGAGCGCTCCTGTCGCGAGACCGCGAGTCGTACGGCCGAAGCCGTGAAGGATGTGCTCCGTGAGGCGGTGCACTTGATGGGTACATGAGTGGGCATGGCGGAAGCCGAACTGTTCGTCCGGAAGAAGGGCCTGGGAGTTTGAAATGTCCCGTAGGCGTGCGTTGAGAAGTCGCTCGTATATTTTAGCGAGCGAGTTGAGAAGACTAATAGGTCGGTAACTACTAGGGAGATTGCGGGGTTTACCCGGCTTATGAATACCTATGACTACAGCCTCTTTCCACTGATCTGGAAAGATGCAGTTAGTCATAAGACAGTTGAAAATCGCCACCAGAAGGGCAATAATTTGATCGGGCAGGAGTTTGATTGCCCTATTTGATATTTTATCGGGACCGGGGGACTTCTTATTATGAAGACGCCTGATAGTAGAGTTAACCTCGTCGAACGTGATCGAGGGGAGCGGGTCGCCGGCGGGCGGTGAGTTTAATCGTAACGACACCTCGTCGTCGACCGTTTGAATAAACGCGGCGTCTACGCGGTTCGTATTTGGCGAGCACTGAGTCTCGAGATTCTCGGCTAGGCACTCGGCCTTATCCGCGTCGTCGAAGGCCGGTGGCTGGTTAGCGCGAATCAACGGAGGGAGTGTTTGAGTTGCCTCCGATTTGAGGACTCTCGCGAGGGGCCAGTACGCAACGTGAGAGGGCGTGAGCTCGGCGAGATGTCGATCCCATCTGTCGCTTCTGAGTTCTCGGATACTATCTCTAACGCGTCTCTGAAGAACGCGGAGATTGCGTCGGTTTACCTCTGTGGGGTATCTATCGTACGCGCGGGTCGCGCGGTTCTTGGCCGTTATCAACCTACGCACCTCTGCGGGCAACGCAAATCGTCGGTCGGGACCGACTACGCGCTGCCTAGAGGAGTATTCAATCTTAGATTGAATATGGTCGGTGACGGCCGAGATCGCGCCTAACGCTTCGTTCGCGGTCGTCAGTCTGTCGGGTATGTTATCTAATTGAGGGGAGCTGATGGGCTTGAGAGCCGCTTGCAGCTTCCCCCAGTCGACAATGGGCACCACTTTAATTAAATTGTATGTTCTCAATTTGTACTCAAAGGTGTAGTTAGTAGTACAGTTAGTAGAGTTGGTACAGAAGGCTGGTCGTGAATTCGATTCGTGCCTCTATATATGTTTTTCTATATATATATAATCTTTTTTAAATAAAACACTTGAACGGTTTAAAACGCGATATATTAGTTAAACTTATTTGGAAATGATTTTTAAGTTCGGCCCGACGTTCCCCGTGACCATGGCTGCTGCAAAGCATCCGAAACGTCGGGCCGAAGTTAAAAATCATTTCCAAATAAGTTTAACTAATATATCGCGTTTTAAACCGTCCAAGTGTTTTATTTAAATGTGTACTACTTGCGTCAACTATAGACAATATATAATCTTGTCTGTGTATTATAAATACAATTGATGTTTAAAATATGATATGATGAAAATCACAGACTAAAAAGCGAAACGCGACTAAACTAAAACGTGACACGTTTCAGAAAAGCCAATGTAAGGGATGATTTTATCCGCAAGTTAGTATGGTACAACCCCTTTCTTTTACTGATGGTGAGAATGCAAAATGTACGTCAGAAATTTGTGACGTGCAGTGTGGTGAACCGCACCACTCCTCTATGTTTAGTTTAGCGAGCTGGTAATACCATTCTACCGAAGGCAAGAGTCCACCGGAATCACTTAACACACCACAACCCACTACGGTTCTTTCGAGGTAGCTCTCAGCCCCAACGAAATATGGCACAGCCCTAACTAACAAAATTATCGCGGTTCAAGCTCTCGAAAAATATTACCAAGATTCAATATTATTTCGATAATAATTGAATCTGAACGAGTCGAAATTTTCTGATTCATTTTAGCTTTGATATCGAAATACGTCTTATAAAATGACGTGGGTACTCTCTTATGATATTATAACCATTAGGGCTCTAAGTAGCCAGTTATAGCTTTTGAAGATTAATACGTTTGTGCGTTATTTTTAAATTTTTTTGATTAGTCAAACTTCGCAAGAGATTACTTCTGCGTTGGTTATTACTTAAATTTGTTAAAATATCTTAATTTTTAAACGGATTGTTTTTTGGGATTGATTTGTATTGAAGATATGAGAAAGACGTTCTTAGTAGAACTTATAGTAATAATATAGAAGCTAAGTTACCTATTTTAAACTACTAGCGGTAGTTTCTGATACGTTTCAACGGAGTTTTAACCCGTTAAAAATGTATCACTTTCGTAACTTTTTTATAATCGTGGAATTTAAAACTCAATCTGCATTGAATTGTTTGTAGTATTTTTATTGACGTAAACACTTCCATTGGTCCAATTGTTTAATATTTGGGTCAAACGTGTTCAATGAAGTCATTCTAATTGAGTGTGATCATTCCTTTTTTATGATGTTTCGTGAAGTGTAAATACGCCATAAGCGTTTCCTCGAGGCGGCCGTGTTGTAACTGAATTGTTAGCCGTTCTCGGTTTGAATCTCGGAATAACATAATAAATAATTTCAGTCTGGCAGGACTTTAATTTTTTTATGATACAGGAGGACAGACAAGCAGGGGCTTCCCTTGATGGAAGGTGAAATATCCCAACCACATAACATAGTAATAAAATGCGCTATCGACCTATTTTGGCTTGGAATTATGAAAATGGTGAAGTATATGCTACTCTATAATTGATACGGAACATATTTTTTAATTAATAATAACGTGTGGCATGTTTTTTTAAGCAGATAGTCAATCGTTTCATTGGAGCCGGTCAGTACTATGTACTTAAAATTGCATTGTATTTGCTGATTATTTTAATTATGAGATATTGAAAAACTCAGTTATATACCGGGAATTAACGAAAACTACTTTTGTTATTTGTGTGAAAAAAATAATATTATTATAAAAACGACAATTTTTAAACAAAAACTATTTAATTAAAAAAAATATATAATACTTAAACTTAGATAATACTTATAAGACTTTTTCATTTCTATTCAAATGTAAGTGCTTACTTCTCCTTTTTTTAAAGTTATCTAAGATTTTACGCGGCAAACCCATGTGTTTGACATTGAACTGCGAAATGATACAATTGAGGACGTTCTATGAGCGACTGTTAGTTGTACAGAAGTCCTCAATAACACGACTTGTTATTTGAGTCAAATAACTTATTAAAACATTAGGTGTAGTACAAGGTTGCTTTGTGAGGCCCATTCTTGTTAATTAAAATATCAATCTAATTAGATAACATTTTTAGTACTGTAACTAAATTAATGCAAAATATGAAAATGCTATTAAATGAAAATTACTTTATTCTATCTTTTGTTCTAATACTAAGTGTTATGTGTAAAGATCTAAGTGAAAATGAGAGAAATATACGAGCTGTATTTATTCAAAAAATATTGAATAAACAAAAACACTTTGAGGGCAGAATAAAACTTGTTGGAGGAAGTGACAAGTTTGAAGGTTGGTATAGACTAAATTTCATAAGTATTAATTCATATTAACTTTTCATAAAATGTATTACTCATAATAAATCAGCTGTATGTAAAGTTTTTGACTAAGTAATTTGAATGTTAAAATTTTGATTATAAATATTTTTTTCTATAGTTTTTATTGTGCCTGTCTCCTCTACCACAATAAGCTTTATTTATACCAAAATTAGTATAATCTTAAGTCCCTAATCTGTATGTTTTGTACATGAACATGAAGTTATGTAATTGAATAAAACATTTCAAAAAAATTTCATAATAATTTTTGTATGAAATCTACTTGCATAATTAAAATACACGACTAGATAGACACCAAACCACTAAACGTAGAAATTAAAAATCGTGTGTGTTAAATTACAAATGTATGCTACATTGAAAAAAAAAATACTAGGGCAGGTTTTGAACCGGCGTCCATAGCGTTCCGTGCTGTTGCTCAAACCAATTGAGATACTGTGTTCTTCACGTCATCGTATTTTTAACCTATTCATGATACATTTTTCGCAGATACAGATAATATTTTCAAATCCATAATCATCATCATCAACAGGTAACGTGTACATCCATCATGCTGGAAGATGGGGGGCTGTATGTGATGACTCTTGGGACAATGCAGCAGCCAAGGTCGTTTGCCGTACCTTTAATAAGACTGGTGAAGCCACTCATGGGAGTCAATATGGAGAAGCGATTGGTAAGTAATGGTTCGATATACATAGAACGCTACAGGTTTCAATAAAAAGGTGATAACATCTGCACCGTAGCAAAAAGGTGTTGAAACCTGTAGCGTAGGGTTTTGGATAAATTAACAAAATTAAAAACATATTAGTAGTTGCTTATATTAAAAATTTAAGTAGGAAACAAATGTCGCTTTTATTAAAAGCAAGGATTTTTGAAAAATAACAATATTTTTTAAACTTGGTCAATAGTTAATTAGCATAACAAATTTGACATTCAATATCTACACTCTATTATTATTCTAACAAGTAAGTCGCGACGTTTTTCTGGAAATACAAAAACCTTTTGACGTTCTAAGCGACGTGAATAAGTTAGAATTAAAGTAACATTTTGTTAATTCGTTTCTAGGAAAAAGGGTTGTTACTTTTAGACTATAAAAAGTAATTAATTATATTTTTAGCTCTTTTTATGACTTTAGACCGTAACTCACTTAAGCTCGTATCGTAAGTTTTAGATTTGAATCTTAAGTAAAGAAAGTTTTCTGGCACAAAGGGAGGGTTATTATGAACTTCAAATATAGGTATTTAAGCGGTAAACCCCTGAAAAACAATACTTAAACAGAATTATATCCGTCCCAATATAATAATAAAGATCAGGTTGTTGTTGGAAGAGATAGCTGCTTAGCGATAAGGCCGCCTTTTATTTATAAGTTAGTATGTAAGATTTTATCTTTTGTAGTTTATGTGGTAAGTAAGTAATAAAGCTGAAATAAAATAAAGATGATGATTTAAATACTGTCTATAGTTTATGTACACATTTAAATAAAACACTTTAACTTTTAGAAAAGTTCTGGATGGACGATGTGGTGTGCGAAGGTACTGAGACATCGATCAGTAACTGCATATTTTCGGGTTGGGGCACCTCTGACTGTGAATCGAGCGAAGCAGCTGGTGTTATATGCCATAATAAAGTGGTACCTGAAGTCATTGACGCTGAATCAAGATATATACATGAAGTGATTGATGCCAGCAGTACTAGCTTGAGATTGGCTGGTGGTAGAAATAACTTGGAAGGGAGAGTAGAGGTTAGTAAATGTATAGAAACATACGTTTTCCGCTTTAAGGTCTCAGCACACATATGGGATAGGAAAGGGATCGTAACCGTAACGCCTCGAGCCGTTCAGAATGGTTTGTATTAAACTCCCTACTGCAACGCACACTAATCGGAATCGTAACGTAATCGCCTCGCCTCGGAACTTGCAATTCCCGCGCTTACGGCTCATCGTCCCCGCGCTTACGTCTCTCCGTCCCCGCGCTTGCGTCCTCCTTGCTTTATTCATATTATGTACCCAATATCTTTCGGGCGACGAGGCGTAAGCGCGGTGTCGCCTAGCCGTAGCCGAGTTGACGTACAGGCGCTGCTGATACGCTTTCGTTACGTGCGTACGGTAGGTTGACGCCTGGTTGACAGGGAGGTGAAAGGCGTTACGGTTACGTTCCCTTTCCGATCCCATATGTGTGCTGAGACCCTTAACTTATAGCTCAGTGGTAAAACAAGTTATCTAGGTTAACAGACATCTGTGCTCTGCCCGGAGGAAACAATGTATTGTTTAAATATTTGTCTGTATATACAATTGATTAGTGAAGCGATTACAGAAATGTGTCCGCCCCATTTCTAGTACTTTTTGTACATTTAGTCGAAGTCATATACATTCACTGAAGCTTAATTCATAATCTAAGTTGGTATATAGGATTTTTTTCACTATTGATGTTAAATGAGCATCTCTTAGTAGTAGCCGTTTTCACAGAATGACATTACGGGCGCTGTAAAGCATCCAAAACGGCTGGCCGTCGTTAAGTTAAATTAAAAAATATGTTTTACGTTATAAATTTTTAATTTAAATGTGTACTATTAGCATAACTACAGACGAAACTATTGACTTCTCAATACCCTTGACAGACGATAAATATTTATATAGTATCACAAAAACTTTTAAAATTTAATGAAAGACGTAGTCTATTAATAGGGTCTGAATTCCACATACATCCAACAGCGTTCTTACCCTTGAGAAGAATCTATTAAATTAACCTTTCAGATATACTACAATAATACATGGGGCAGCATCTGCCCGGATGGCTGGACACTGTACGAAGCATCCGCAGTCTGCCACCACCTTGCTTTAGGTCATGCTGTACAGGCACCACAAAGTGACTTTTTTGGTGGCTCCAAGATCGTTCTCAGCGGTGTCGAATGCCAGGGGAATGAGACGAATTTGTTTACATGCAAACATAGGGCGCTTGGTGACGTTGTCTGCCCTGGAGAAAAAGGTATTTTGATGTCATTTGCTTTGTTTCTTACATAAATATAATGTTTTCTTATCCGTGTACAATATATATACAGCATATAAGTATACAGGCTGTTTCTACTATCTTTTACATAAAACGAGGTACGTATTTTCTGTAGTTTACACGAGTAGTACAAATTTAATAAATCACTTTTAACGGTTGAAAATTGAAAACTATATTACTTAACTATACTAGTATACTAGTTTAGTTTTAGTAACTATATTAGTTATGTTATTTAGAATTTAATTAAAATATAGCTCGACAAGCAATGCACCCAGAATGTCGAAAAAATTATATAAATTAACTTAACTAATTAACAACTTGATCAAAATTAATGTACTGTCAACTTCAGTTTTAAAAATACTACTGCATTGATTAATCTACTCGTTAGTGCTTCGCCCTTGATGTTTTTTAATTGCGTCAGTATTCACACAAATAAATACGCAGATATAAATTTATTTGCACTCAAATTGAATGCTTTATATTTATTTTTAAAACAAATACAGAATAATTGTTTTAAAAGTTTAATCTGTGGACGGTGGTTCAATCCAACATGTCGTGTTTAGTTCTATTATACATATATTTATATATATTGTTTTGTTGTTAAGATTATAAGTCACTGCCTCATTAGATCCCGTCTGTTATGACAGTAAAAATTAAATAAATAAATGTTTAGAAGAATTGTATATTGATACATGTTGGACCCGATGGCTACCTCCGATCTTCATTGGAACCTCTCTGATTATTGGCAATACAGTTAAAAATACCTTTCAAATGAAATATTCACTATTTCTTTAAACAAACACCCGAGAATAATTTACTGGCTGTTAAAAGTATACACTCGTAGAAAACAATATTTTCGCCTCATCCTATAGGAGAGTCTTACTAACACATTTTTTTCCTTCTCACCTCATTTGAATGAACCTTATTTGAATTTAAAGAAAATGTCGTTTTAAAAATTTCCCACTTCTCTCTAAATGTACTTTACTAAGGCAATATTTCATTTCCTAAGATGTTCCGTGGAGAGAATAATCTAATGTGGCAAATCTTTTGAGCTTCGTAATTTCAGGTAAGTAGCACCGCAAAAATATGATAGAATTTAAGCTGAGATAAAAGTGTATTTATATCTTAGAAATAAACATAATATTTATTTATTCTTATTATTGAGAATATTTATTTAATATACATTAAATAAATATTCTCAACGTTAATATTAAACCGTCAAGATTGTTTTATTTTAACGAATTGAATTAACCAGAAGTAAGTATTTGGTGTCAAATCTACAATATAAAAAGCTAAAGAGTTTGTTCAGCACTCATAAATTTCACGTTGTAACCAGTTAACAATCCTTTGTTTATCTAATCTTTTTGTTTGCATTATATATATCCGTCCCATAGACTTTGGTCATAAGCGGTCTATGAAAATTTTCACACCTAAATCACTAAACCCGTATCGTTCAGACATGCGTCCTACATTCATAATCCTATTATTGAATGGATAAAGTGTTTCTAAGCCTGCTCTGGTATAATTCAATTTATTACTCGGGATATTTTCGTAAGCCTATCTTTTTGAGATATTAGAGAATGTGTTTTTACAATCTCGCAGCTGTTTGTTACTTTGTGACAAAATGATTTTTCTGGAACGCATACATACAAAACAGGTTACATATTATTTTACATACGAACGATTTTGTTAAGTACTTGCCAATAAGCGGGGAGAAAAAAAGTAATGACTTAATTTAAAAAATTCGACAGCACACTTTGATTGGTTATTACATAAAACTAATTATCTTTCCCCATGTTCTAATGTGTAAAATATTGTAGCACACATTAAATAAAACACTTTGACAATTTAAAAACTCGAAAACGATTAGTTAAATTATTTTTAATAGCATTTAACTATGGCCCGACGTCTCCACGTGTCTATGGCTGCTGCGAAACATCCTATATTAAATACAAAATAAGTTACTGATATATTTCGCATTTTAAACCGTTATCATTGAATAATTTGAAAATAGTTATATTTCCAAGCTCTGTAAAATGGCCATCACAACGAGGCAATATTTTATATCATCCCGAAACTACTGAACATATTTTATAGTTTTAAGTTAATTTAATAATTATAATTTTAGGATCCATGTGCTCTGTCAAACCATTTAGACGTTACGATTGTTATGTCGGTAGATTAGTTAGTTCTTATTTAGTGTTAGTTTGTAGGTAGCTGTAACTTTTATGTAATAAACTGTCATTCTATGGATCCCGCGTTTAATTGACGTATCAACGATCAAAACTAAAATAAACATACAATGTTATATGAGGCGGCTAGAGCCAGAGTAGCCTAACAGCAATTTTATGATTTGGTTTATTTATGTCTTTATAGTCTGAAAATATTAATCTACCAGAGCACAGTAACAGAAAATTTTTAACATATCTTTTAAAATAAATAAAAGTACAAATTAATTTTTGCCTAAGTTAATTGGGCATTTTTATTTTCCTCCTTATTAAAAATCATGTTTTTATATTAGGCCACTCTGTCTCTAGCGGCCTCGAGTATGCCCTTAAACTAACCTTCTTTTTTTTAAGAAATAAAACACAATGAGCCAGTAAGTATATTTTTCCTTTCAGGTCATGTTGCAGGTGTCATCTGCACCAACCACCTAGCCGATCTCCAACTGGACACAAAAGCTATAGAAATGTCAGCTCATTTGAAAGACTCCACTTTGTATGAGCTGCAGTGTGCAATGGAAGAGAACTGTTTAAGTAAATCTGCATATGAGGTACCTGTTATCTATACTAATATACGCTGTTGTTTGTTTGTACGCGCCAATCTCGGGAACTACTGGTTCGAATTAAACAAATATTTTTTTGATGGCTTCATCATTTATCGAGGAAGACGTTTGTTTATAAAATATCACGCTGTGACCAATAGAAGCGAGAGATCTGAGGGAAAAGAGGAAAAAAGTGAGAAAATTATTCGTTTTTAAGGGATTTTGTTGCAGCGAAAACGGTTAAAATACTATAATAAGTAATTTAAAAGGAAATTCTTCTTTAAATAAACTAAACTAAAAAGTGTTTGACAGAATATCTTTTAAGATTAAGTCACAAGAAACGTTTTCATGGGAATCAAATTCCGTCGAAACATTTGATATGGCAAAAAAGTGCTTGTTATAATATATTTCGACTGAAAATATAAAACAAAGAAGCAAACTGGAAAAATGCATTGCTAGGCTTGTAAATGAATATTATTATTAGATTAATTAATTTTTTTATTTAGATCTCGTTCAAAAAATCTATTCCTGATCTCGTAAACCATTAAAATATTTTTTTCCTACAAACCTGTTATTTTTATATTGGGTTTTTTGGTAGAGCTTCTTTATAAATAAAATCTCTTTCAATCTTTCCCAGGGTTTTCATTCAGTAAACATCAATTGTTAAAACTAATCTGGACATGGCTATAGAAAAATAGCTTCAGTTATAACTAGCATAAGGAGTGTAATTGTTTGATTTGTTCTAACTCGATAAACAATGTTTCGTTAGATTTCACGTATAGAGTATAAAATTAAATAAATTTTGATAAATGCGGCTAACAATTGATACGATGTTTACTTGTGTACTTTTAATCAATTCGTACATTAGTTCTGCTCTAAAAATAAGTTCTATATATCCTTTTTAGGGTACCGTAGCCAAAGGAGTTTTAATTTTGTCGTGGTAGCTCTGTAGTTTATTAAAAATAAAGTTTTTAGAATTGCAAGCATAAGATGACGGCTTCCTGCTCTTAAAGCAGTAAGGTTGGTCATTGAAAATACGTTTACAAAAATAAGCAAAAGTCTGTAGAATAAGACAAACAAAATTAAATTCGTTTCAGATCCAGAAAACGAACCCCAACTGGCAGTTCGAGACTCGGAGGTTACTGCGTTTCACGGCTTCGTCATTAAACATAGGAAATGACGACTTCAGGCCATATTTACCTAAACATTTATGGCAGTGGCATCTCTGTCATAAGTAAGTTATTATTTAAATGAAACATTGTTAACGGTTTGAAACGCCAAATACAACGGCGGGAAGTCCGCCGTAATCACGGCTGCCGTAAAGCTTTAAATTTGAATTTAAAATAAGTAAATATTACGCTTTTAATTTAATATAGTCGTATTAAGTAGTAAAAGTATACTAGTATACTAAGTATTTTTATTATCAAATAAGAATAGACAAAAGGTGACTCAGTTAACTTATTTATTTAAGTACGGCCCGACGTTTGCGTATGCTTTGCAGTAATTTCTGGTCATCAGTGGTCTGTGACCCGGACGGAATTTCGGTATTCCTAGCCATTTAATATCTAGATTTCTATACGAAGTTTAACGTTTCAGAAATATTAAAAACGATTAGAATGTTGGACCTGATAAGCATCAAACCTAAGACTGCTTGATTAGTTATACTTTCCTATCATTAGACAGACGAGACTAGGTTTTTAATTTGGAAAAATTTAAGCCAACACAAATTAAACGCGAAAGAAATCTCTAAGTATTTTAATTAATTCCGAAACGGCTGTCAAAGAAACTTTACCCTTGTCCAGTGTATTTGTGGACTTAGTACTAGCTCATATTTCACTTGGGAATTACAGCGAGGTCTAACAAGGCCGTACTTAGTACTTGTATAGTCTAGCAGCTATATGAGAACTGGATAGTATCTAAGATATTATTAATTAAAAATACTTTCTTTTAACGATAGAGAAGGAACCTTGGGGAATCAGGTAAGTAACTGAATATTTATGGCAATGGCAGTTTAAATACATCATCAGTTTAAATAAAACACTTTTAACGGTTTAAAACCCGAGATATCTGTCCACATTGCTGCAATTCATCTAAAACGTGGATTCGTAGTCAAAAAAAATGTGAACGGTTGTGGGGCAAACACATTTCCCTGTCCGTTTCCATTGATCGGTTTACTTATAGGTAAGCAGTTGATTAGACTTCTGTGCCCAGCCCGACATTCTATTGTTTTCCCAGGAGTCGAACCCTGGAACAGGACTCTTGAGCTTAACTCAATGCCAGGCAACGTTTTAATCATTTAACTAAAGAGGGGCGAGGAGTTAAAAATAGGCGAACTAGTACTCGTGTTTAAAACCGTTTAAAGTACTCGTATGATCCTATTTTTTTATATTTTACATTGTGTCTACTTATCAACATTTTCCCAATACAACCCCGTCAATGTTTAATATTTCAAGAGAACATACGAATATTTTCAAATCAGAATTTTCCACGCGTATGGAAAACGAATGAAAATTATAATCATGGTCACAATATCCACGACGACCCATTGTTGAGATCTCCACATGTCAGACATAAAAGATTCCCTAGTTATTATGCGTGAACCGTCTTTTCATTTCTAAGACTAAGCGCTGTCGGCTTAACTTTTTTCCTGAAAAGCGCTTTTGTACTGCGAAAATCCTTTTCACGCATTTCGTTATTTAAGATCTGTTCCTAGAATTTTATTGTCTCATATTATTTCTATTACATACCATATATTGTTATATTAAAATTGGTTGACATCGCATGTTGTTTAAATGTCATGTTTATAGGTCACCTATCTTCAACTGAACCCCAATGCTTGTTCGTCGTCTATTAAAAAGAATAGCAAAGAATGTGTTTCTTGTTAAAATAAAACTATTTAAACGGCTAACAAAGGTCGTAAAAATGTCCGTGTTAACCTTCTATCAAGTTTACACCATATCTGTCGTAAAACGAGACGTGTTGTAAAACGGAATAAAATTAAAACAATTTAAACGGCATGAAACGGTCGAAAAAATGTCTGTGTTGTTTCACCTGCCATCGAGTTAGCCCCATACTTCTCTGTCCTCCTTTGTTATATCAAACTTGTGTTTACTTGAGCCAAGGTCGGCCCGCTATCAAAACAACGCTCGCTAGTACCAAAAATACTGATGTTTCAGGCACTATCACAGTATGGAAGTGTTTGCAACCTTCGACGTGCTGGACAGCGACGGCCAAAGAGTCGCAGAAGGCCATAAAGCCTCCTTCTGCTTGGAAGACAACGAGTGCCGCCCGGGGATCGAGAAGAAATACTCTTGTGCTAATTATGGAGACCAAGGTTAGTAGACCAAGGTCAGGTCAGTCTATAAGTTACAGTTAATACGAGTTAAGACGCAAAATATGTTTAGATTTAACAAGTATAACTTTAAAAAAAAAACACTTTAACGGTTTAAAACGCGATATATTAGTTAAAGCAGCCGTGTCTTCCCGTGACCACGGCTGCTGCAAAGCATCCGAAACGTCGGGCCGAAGTTAAAAATAATTTTCAAATAAGTTTAACTAATATATCGCGTTTTAAACCGTTAAAGTGTTTTATTTAAATGTGTACTACTCGCGTAAACTATAGACAGTATTTAAATATAAGTTTGTTTCACACTTGTTTTCCTACGTTAAAGACAAACAAATCTTAAATGCCTTTTGCATGATTGTCTGCAGCTTACGCGAGTCGTATACATTTGACACTTTTTACAGTTTAAAACGTAAAATATATCACATCTACTGCATGGCAACTAAAATCTGAGTTTGACTAATTATTTCGCGTTTTAAACAATTAAAAAGGTTTTATTTAAATTAATTTTGCATTACAAACCTTTTTCGAGCTTTGCAGACTGGACCCGTTTTTTTTCATTAAAAATCATGCTAATAGAAAGTCCACAGGTTAATAATATATAGTTTTATAATAGATGTTTAGTTTCATGACGAGTTCAAAATAGAGACAAAAAAATGATTACAATTAATGTATTTTCAGGTGTTTCAGTAAACTGCTCAGATATATACAGATATTATTTGGACTGCCAGTGGGTAGATGTAACGGACGTCGAACCAGGAGACTATAGTTTTAAGGTTTGTTATATTGTTTATAACGATAGATAAGCGTTTACGTAAAGCCTTAACATCTTGCAAGTTGTGCTGTCGACCTAATTTGTTTTACAGAAAAAAAAAACAAAACAATTAATCAGTCAATGAATACTAAGTAAGTTAATAACATTTAAATGTAATGCATTTTTTTTATCGCGTTGTAAGAAAAATATTTGGAACTAACTAACTAACTCACCTTAGAAATTAGAATATTCCAATTATTGTTAAGCTTTCTTTCTTCTTTCATGTGTGTCATTTACAATACTAAATGTGTTCAAAAACATATAATATTAATATTATTTAGGAACTATTAAGGTTGAAAAAAATCACGACACGCGCGGGCTTTGAGCCGGCATTTACAACCCACAAAATAGCCAATTAAGCTACCGTGTCAGTGTATTTCTCCGTCTTCCAGGTCGCAGTAAACCCACACGCTCGGATCGCCGAACAAAGCTACCACAATAACGCCGCGTCGTGTTCACTACGCTTAACTGACACTTACGCCGTTGTGTACGGGTGCAGTTTGGGAAGACCTTAAGCCGTTAATACCGTTAAATAAAACGTTACAGAATCATGTTTTGTTTCAATATAAAATATGAACTAACCATTATTTCGATAGTAAAAGAATACAAAAGAAACATATAGAAACGGCTAGTAAAAAAAGAGAAGTAATTGAAATAATGCATATATTTTTCTATTTTGTTTTTGTATTGTTATACCTTATCAGGATGTTAGAATAACCACGTTTTCAAAACTGCTAACTCACGTAATGTATTGAGATAAATTCTACTTTTAAAGTTTTGCAGGTTTCCCGAAAGAGACACATTAAAAGAAAGTATGAAGAGAGAATTACCCTGTTTACAATCTCCCATGACCACGACTGTTGCAAAGCATCAATCAGTCATCAAGTGTGTTAAAACCTTCAACTTTATAATATAAGTATAGTTTTCCTCGCGATTTGAACTTGGACGTATGTAATATGTATTTACCTGAAAAGACCCTTTCAGGAAAAGTGTTAAGGTTGCTCTTCGCCGTTTACGTATTCAGACGTTAAAATGCTTCAACGAAAAAAACAAACGATATAAAAAGACTCAGATTGAAAACGTAAAATCCATTGTTACTTTTGGTTATGTAAAAATGTTACATTGAAAAGTTTCTAGTTGTGAAAAATTCGCGTCAACATTTCCACTGAATGTGAAATGAAAAATTCTAGTGTAACGCCGTTATATCAAAAGGAAAAGCTCTCATGAAATTAGCTTTTAATAAGCTTTTATAGTGTAATACGTTTTTTAACCGTGGAAAATTAAAATTCATTTTGCATACACTATCTCACGTGAGACTTGTGTTCTCGGAAACTAGGACACTATCATTGGTACATGTTTATAATAAATGATCTTTTTATAAAAAGTGTTCAGTAATCAAACCCACGTTTTTTTTTCTTTTCTTTTCGTATGTTTGTTACTGACCAGTTTTAAGATCAATACAGAAATAATAAGGTGAAAGCCGAACTTGTGATCTGGATATTTCGAAAACAAACGAATAAAATGCTTATTAGGTTTCCTTTACGTTTGAAAACTTGGTATTACTCGGTAGCTGAATTGGTTAGCAGAGAACGCTGACGATGCCTGTTCAGATCCTGCCCGAGTCGAAAGGTATTTTTGATTTAAAATCTAGGATTCCTTAATAAAAACAAAAATTCGTGAAGTATTACATTTATTACGACTTAATTAAGCATACAAACATGTATTTGAGCAAACCGTTATAACGAACTACAAATAATTAAATACTAGTACTTCTATTTTGTACATAACCGTGTCACTTATCATAAACAAAGAACGGAGGTAATTTGGCGCCAAATCTAGCGTCATTATAAGAGTTAGCGCCAAATCTCCGAGCCGCCATTTGCATTTTAAATCTACAAATTAAAAATTGCTTCCAGACATTGTCATAAGATACAAGCTAAATATGTGTTTTGTTTTTATGAACTTATCATTTATAATAGCAGAAATACAAATTGTTCTTTTTAATATTCAGTCTAAACTACACTATATTAGCTGTGAAAGCTATTATTTATCATAGTCATAAATAAAACTCTCGGATTTTTATTTATATACAAAATACAAGATTTGAATTTACAAACACGAATATGACGTGCAGAAATTACAAATCGAGCGTGCATTAATCAAACTCCCAAAAGCTTTGGAATTTTGACGAAATAATATTGAAGAACGTGTTCTGTGGCCGTCGAACTGAATAGAAGCCGCTATAATTATATAATCTATATTACTAATAAATACAACATCACAGACTATCACCAAATATAAGACTAATATAAAATACTTGAAGGAATACCTTTTTTATGATGGCAACTCTAGAAAATACCATTTTAAATATCACTATCTCACAAATTGGTAACACGTCGAAATAGGAGGAATCTATAAAAAAAATAAATGTTATAGGACGGATTAAGTTTAAGGTATTTTTAATTTTATTAATAAATAAGTATTATGTTTACGTCTTAAGAATATTATGGAGCCGTTGTGAGCTATTAACATTTTAATAGTTTAAATGCCATAACCACTTATCGCCCATGACGATTTTAATAGGACTGTTTGCGGGCATAATTAATCCCCCTAGTTCTAGAATATTTAGCACAAACTAATATGGACTCGTAAAAATATAACAGCGATCTGTCGAGATAGTTTTATAATACTTACGTAAATTGGTAGTTCGGAAGATTTTAGAGAAATTAAAATTTAAATAAACTGATGAAAGAAATGACCAATACAAAATAGGTATTTTTTAAACAATCTAAATGTCATACTAAAATCGCTTAATAAACAGCAAAAATTGCCTTGGGTTATGATTGGTTATTCATTTCGAAATATTATTGGTACAGACTATACACAAAATGTAAATTTAAACCTACAGATTATCCCTTCTTAAACTTAATTAATAGTATGCTAACTGTCAAATATATGACAATCCAGGTGACGGTGGAGACGAAGCCAGTGTAGACAGTAGGAACATCTATAGACCAGCCACGCTGTAACATGGATCTCAGTGACTCTGTAGACTTAGTTAGAGGTAGGACGAAGCTTATCCATTGGAGGATCTGGTGCATACCTGATGCGGAAAAATAATTATTATTTTAATTCACATTTGCATAAATATATTTTAATACTGCTTTTACGGACTCGTTTACATACATATTACTTTAAGCAGAAATAACACAAACCACCTTTGGTTCGATTCAAATGACTTAATAATGCGATTAGAAGGGTTTGTCTTGCGGGATTTAAACAATTGTGTATATTTTATTTTCCAAAGTTAATAGTTAAGCTACTACCCATTATTTTTTACGTGGCTACCACAGCACCATCGTGTAATTGAGAAATGAAATCCCGTTTCCCGTCGCATGGGGAAAACGCACTTTTCCACAAGAAGTCCGTTTTGATTGGTTTTACTACTTTACAGACCTCTGTTTCCGACCGAATCAATTTATCGTATCCCCGGGATCCGAACCCAGGATCTCTCGCGCTTAACACAATGCTAGGCAACACTTTTAACCATTTAGCTACAGACGCAAATACATACAAATTGCCATTAGTATTTATTATTTACACAATCTTATAGTCCAATAACTTTACCTTCAACTGGCCAAATGATACCACAGAGCAACATCATAGGCAGGAACGACCCGAGGGCCAGATATGTAGCCGTCCTTTCAGTGTCACACACACAGGACACCACAAAACCTGAAAATAATATAAATCTTACTCCATCTTATTGTCAATAAGTATGTGTAATTCTTACTTTAACCCTAAATAGCTTGATCGATTTTGATAAATTAATGTTGAGCTAGAGTCGTTGTTTACCTAGCATTATATCCCCTCCCTCACGGAGGGTTAAGGTGTGTAAACCCACGATACTATTCCATTTTCGAATGATGAGGCTTTGAAGGCTAGCCACTTAGTGATAATAACATTGTTTAAAAAGTTTTAAATATTTAAAAACTCTAATATTTGGAACTTTTTTAAAATTTTCACATGTGGCACTTGTTGGATAATACATTGAAAAAAAAAAACGGTAGTTTTAGAAAATGATAGAGAAGGACAGACAAGCATACCCCATGCTTGTCTGTCCTTCTCTATCATTTCTTATTCTATAGTAAAATACCCCAGCCATCTAAGCAAGATGCGCTATCGACCTATTAGCTTTGGATATTCGGAAATCCATAGACTAAAACCGAAATGTAATTAAACTTCACGGCTTTTTCAGTAACCACCGTCCATAAATGGATGGAGTTTCGATATTCCTACCACCCCTTTAATATCCAGATTTCCAGACGAAGTCTAACATGTTTCGGAAAATTATAAATTGATTGGAAAAATGTTGGACCCGGTGGGGATCAAATCCACGACCCGGCCCGTAGTCGTACATTTCTACCATTACGCCAATGAGCTAGTTAAAAACGGTTAGAGCAACAGCACGGAACGCTGACGATGCCGGTTCAAATCCTGCCCGAGTCGAAATTTTTTTCAATTTATTTTCGATTTTTAAATTATATAGTGCCTGCATGTGCAATAACATGTCAAAAATAATAAAAGTTTTCAAACTTACTGATATAGCCTAAATACTATTTGTAATTTTATTATTAAGAAAGACACAATAAACACATTTTTTTTTATTTTATTATCAAACGAACTCACCAAATGTCATCCCGCAAAGGCCGTTCATAAGAGTCAAAACGATGACCCAGCCGAGAGGCCCTTTCAGCGTAAGTCCGAAGATAACGAAGCCGACGATAAGCACCATCGCAGTTTGGAATATCATCACCAACATCTGGACTATTACGTGCGAGAATAGGATCTCTGTACCTGTGTAGAGAAAATAAGTCTATACTAATATAAAGCAGAAGAGTTTGACGCCCAAAATAATAATTATATGTGGACGAAGGCGCTGACACAGCTAGTCTTATATATTATATATTCAACTTTTAATTCAACACGTTTATATATTACATTTGAAATATTAAAACTTACCAGTAATTCCTGACACTAAGGACCTCTCCATGATACCGTCGTTCCTTTCAGCCAACATAGATCCCGATGTCAAAGCGACGGCCAAGAAGAAGATAATTCTAAAAAAATAAATATGAATAGAAAATATACCGTCTGTAGTTTACGCGGGTATATCACATTTTAATAAAACACATCAACGGTTTCAAACGCGAAATATATTAGACTTATTTACAAATCACCTTAAATAAAGCCCTACGTTTCGGATGCTTTGAGTTAAAATAATTTGTCAATAAATTTTACTAATGTATTTCGCGTTTTGAACCGTTAAAATGTTTTATTTAAGTATGAATGAAATGAGAAAAAAAGAAATTTTCATTTTTCTCATGGGCTTTGAATTTACAAGGGGCTTGAAGAATTTTCAGAACAAAATGGAGCTTTGATAATTTTATCAGCGCTACGCGTCTAGGCTGGATATAAATTGTAAACAGGCCGGAAAATGCTACGGAAACGGCGCGACGTAGTTACGCTACGAATTATAGCTTTAAGCCACCTAATTTTGCGAGTGCTTTACATAACTTAGTTACCTCATTATCCGGTTTGATCTAATAATAAAAGTGTACATACCTATTTCATTTCTGAAATAGGTATGTACACTTAAAACAGAAATATATTTTCATATATTTCTGTTTTAAGCATTGTCTGCACTTAACGCGATTAGTACGTATTTAAATAAAAGCACTCTTTATTTAAATATGTATTTGTTTAAATTTAATTTCAGCTCGGCCATATGTTTTGGGAGCCGCGGTCACAGGCAATAAAAATGTATATAATATATTTCGCGTTTAAAACCGTTAAAAGTGTTTTATTTCAAAAAATTACTACAAAGTATAATTATTTATCCCAAAAAAAGGTTACGGTAAATAACATACAGGAAACACAAAAGCTAATTTAAAATAAGGATTTAATTTCTAAAACAATCACTGGGGTCATTAGTACGGGTCAGTACAGTTAGGTGCAAATGTTAGAAAGATTTTATTTAGTAATAAATGTAGGGCTTATTTAAATTGACATAATATTGCAGATAAAAAACGAAGAAGGCGATGGGATAAGGAGATACCAAATATAATCAAATTAAAATTAAAATATAAGAAATAATAATTATAAGAGTTGTTTTACCATTTTTAAAATTATAGTAAACTTTCTAACCAATAACAATCCTTTTTAAATAAAACACTTTAACGGTTTAAAACGCAATATATTAGTTAAGCTTATTTGAAAATTATTTTTAACTTCTGCCCGACGTTTCGGATGCTCTGCAGCAGCCGTGATCACTAATCTAATATATCGCGTTTTAAACCGTTAAAGTCTTTTAATCAAATGTGTACTACTCGCGTAAAATATAGACAGTATTTAATAACAATCCATTTTTTTTATTTTACTAAACTTTCGTATTTCGTCTTATTATGCAAATGGTATAAAACGGCACAGTTCCTCGTTAGTCAAGATTCGATACCCGCTACTGTAACCGACTTATTCAGTCTTCTAATGTACATTTTGGATTTGTTTTAGCAATAGTACGTATAAGTAACAACGACAACTATGAACTGAATTGGATTTCAGATAACAGTTTTGCACGCAACTGTACACGTGATCCGCAATTAAAATTATAATCAAATTTTACTTACGTCAGGATAACACCGGGTCCAGCGAAATCAGTGAAATTGGGTACCTCCAACCCGTAAATGGGATCGTGGAACTGCGAATAAAAAACAAACAATCATATATATTTTTAATAACCCTCCATCGTATTTCAGCACGATAGATTGATTCTCTTAACGTAATTTCAAAATTCGAATTTCGATTATCCAAACCCGAAAATAGGTCGATGTCGCATCTTGTCTAGATACTAAATGGCTAGGGTATTTTACTTTCCACCAAGTAAATCCCACCCTTGTCTCCTCTATCAAAATAAATAAAAAAGGTAACTGGCGGTCTTATTACTATTAGTAATCTCTTTCACGCAAATTGTAAGTGACTATTTGACATGCTGCTTGGCAACACATAAACAATGCACCAACCAGAAATCCCGATACCCTCTGTGGGGCGAACACAATTCTGTGTCCGTTTCGATCGATTTTAAATACAGGCATATAGGTTTTAGACTTCTGTGCCGTGGCCGATTGAAACAATTTGTTATATATTAATTTTCAGTCAATTCATTTAACCTTTGAGCTAAGAAGACGTACCCGCTTTATCTACACAACACACATGAGAAAAGACTATTAGAATTCTTCAAAAATAATGAAATAATGAAGACAACGATAATGATCGCGGTAATGATAGACTAATGATGATCATGAAAATATTCATCATTAGATAAGCGCATTTAATCTCAACAAAAAAACGACGGAAAAAGTTATTCTTTGTGGGTTTACGATGCGGACGGTTCAACATACCAAAAAAATTAGTATGAAATAATTATTCCTCTTTAAATCATATAAAAAAGGTCCCCGACAGTATATGTCTATCCTTTAATATTATCTTGCAAGAACGACGGGACGTGATCGTCGTTCGGGCGAGCGGGTTTGCAAAAATAAAGTTTGATGATCAAAATAGCTATTCTACGCAGACGAAGTTGCTGATACAGCTAGTAAATAAAATGATTAATTTCGACGTTGTAATTAAAATACTGTATTAATAAGAATCTCTAAAACACAAAACGTAAACTTATCCCAACTAACACATTAGCAATAGTTAAGATAACAAGTTCTTATGAAGATTTCTCTTAAAATAATTTCAAGTAAATAATTCATGACTTTCTTCTGAATTTGATACGAAATATCCTGAGATCTGTTTTTATTTACGAGGAGAAATTCGCTGAGAATTCGCTATTTCATGATACTTAGTTTAGGGTGAACACATACTTATTTGATGCCAAAGTCAAAAACGTTTATTTACGTAACTGGGTACATTTTTGAAGCGTTAATAACTAAAAACTCTAAATAAAACGTTTCGGATAGCCGTGGTCACGGAGAGACTGGACACGTCGGGCCGAAGTTAAAAATCATTTTCAAATAAGTTTAACTAATACATATCGCGTTTTAAACAGTTAAAGTGTTTCATTTAAATGTGTACTACTAGAGTAAACTATAGACAATATTTATTTATATAAATTAAAAATCAAACAAGAAGTCAATTTTTTCAAAGTCCTGACTTGAACCGGCATGCACAGCGTTTTAGAGCTAACATGTCTTCGTTTTTCCACTTGTATATAGCTACCACTGGACCAATCAATCCGATGAAACATTCGAACGCAACCAATCTACCATGCCGAACTCATACATGACCGCACTAGTCTATCACTACCCTAAAGTCAATACAAACAATCTTACACCGATGGAATCGAAATTTGCTGAAGTGTCTGATTTTCTCAGAAGCGATGCATTAAAATAAACAGTATAGCTCAACAATTGTTTTGAGATCGGTTTTGGAACTCGATAAATTACGAGGTCTTTGATCTTTTGACCTGCCAAACGTTTTTCTAGACTAGCTGTTGCCTACGACGTCGTCTGCGTCCCGTCGTTCTTGCGAGTCGATCGTAATAGATAGATATATAGTTTCGTGAGCATTTTTTAGATTATTAATTAAGGAATCTTTATTTCATACATATTTTATAGTTTTGGGCCGTTTCGTAGCGCACAACGCAAGCCATACAAGATAAATAATCTAAAACCGACTATTAAATTAACGAATATAAATAATATTTCGCGTACATTGTTCGAAGTGTTTTATTTAAATTCTATACCTGCATTTGTTTTATTTGCCGCGTCGGCGTTCTATCCCTCGAACTTTTGCATCAGCCAGTGGTCGAAAGTCTAGTAGCTTTTAAGCCAGTACGACGAGTAAACTACTAAACTCATATAATTGTACGAAATAAATGTTTTTGATGATTAATTTAATGAGTCCTAATTTAACTTACCGTTACGGGAATGGACAGCATTCTCTTAGGCAGATCACAAACGGTTGTCAGTTGTTCTGTTGCTTCCATAAACGCCAGTTGGATGTCACGACTCAACATCCACTCGACCTGTTTATCTGTGGAAGAATTTTATTTTTATTAATTTATTACTATTGATAAACAGATAAACGTGTTACAATCGAGAAACAGCTGTAACTTTAGTAAGAAATACAGGAAGAAAAAAATCAAACAGCAAAACAAAACAATTGGTAACTTAAATAAAACATTTCCACGCTTCAAAACGTGAAATGTATTAGTTAATTTATTTAATTAAATTTAACTACAGCCCGAAGTTACAGATGCTTTGCAACAGCCGTGGCCATGAGAGGACTAAAGATGGAGGGTGTCCCTAATGTCAAAGTCAAATATGCTACGCTAGTGCCATCTGTTACGTCGTAGTTAGTATTTGCTGAAAGCGACTTACCCTGGAATTCCCAACTGTGCACTCAGGAAGATTTATACCAAGGTTAGCCTCTAAATTGCCTTTTGTTGTATTAATACAAGATAAACTACTGTTGCTTCTGTTCAGTCTGAGTACGATTGGATTCTCTTAGACGCTTCGAAAAGACAATAATTAGCTTGTTTTTATGTATCTGCGAACTCATCTTGTGAGTGAATATTGTAAGGAAATTATTAAACAAATAAAAGAGGCATTAATAAAAAATGGTTACTGCTTAAATGATACAACTCCCTCCCTCCGTGACCACGACTGCTGCAAAGTATCCGAAACGTTACAATAATTTAACGTCCGAGGTTACAATACATTGTAAATAAGTAATGTAATATATTTCGCTTTTAAAACCGTTAAAAGTGTTTTTTTTTAACGTGATTAAATGTGATAATGTAATTAGAATTATGTAGATAGCGTATGTAACTAATATTTGATTAGTGTGTACAGTATTTTTGTCTTAAAACATTTTATCCATTTTTATTTTGTGTCAGTTTTTTATCGAGCATTTATCGAGGAAGATTTGAATCATCAAGCTGCAACCAATAGGAGCGAAGCAGTGGAAAATGTAGTGAAAATAGGGAAAATTATTCATCTTTAAATGCTTCCGTTGCATCTGCAAGAGTTTTTCAAGAAACTGAGAAAATGTGGCGAAGGAACGATCTGCCTCTAAATGTAAAAAACATGTCCGCGACTTTAAGATTAACTTGCAAGAACCGTTTTCACGGTAATCAATACTTGTAAAATAATTAGGCTAGCTACTTTACTTTAAGGTTTGTATCACACAAGTCTTATTTAAAGCTAACAGTAATTAAAAGTCCCTCTAAAAAAAACTCTTTGTACAGAACCGATTTCACCTCATATCGAAACATGATATGTACCCTTTTATGGAAAGTATACTTTTTCCTTTGTGCCCAAGTGCTATAAAGGAATTCATTCTTCCAACCTGAATATTTAACCAATACAAAGGCCAGGTTGAATAAAGGTGATAGTAGATTGTTATCGAAAGTGATATGCTACTTTTTTTTTAAATTTTCATCTCATCATAATAATATATAAAATAGATAAATATTCAAATACTGTCTGTAGTTTACGCGAGTGGTACACATTTAAATGAAACACTTTAACGGTTTAAAACGCGATATATTTTAGTTAAACTTGTTTGAGAATTTGTTTTAACTACAGCCCGACGTTTCGGATGCTTTCCAGCAGCCGTGGTCACGGGGGACTAAACGTCGGGCCGTAGTTAAAAATAATTCTCAAACAAGTTTAACTAATATATATCGCGTTTTAAGCCGTTGAAGTTTTTTTTTAAATAGCAAAAAGATGTCTAATGTTTTTTGCCATCAATTTTTGGGTATTTAACAAAATACATTTTAACCAACACCTGTGTCTTATTGTACGATATTCTCAACCAATAGACGATAATTACCGTTTTTACAAAGCAACAATACAGAGGCAATATTTCGGCCTCCACTTCCTCCTGTAATGAAACAGATTCTATCAAATCTGTAATAATTAATTCCTGTATTAGATGTCCAATACTGAGCTTCGTATATATCACTTCTCGACGTGGATGGATCGTTATAACATGGATTACTTATTACACAATACGCAATATATCTGCCGTAAATTTGGGAAGTGTTATACTGTTTTTTGTTATGATAGAGGATAGACAACTGGTTCACTTGGTAGGTAGATCCAGCAATATAACGTCTTAACAAGATGCGCTCTCTTTCTTGGCTATAAATATAACTCAAAAGAAGAAAGTATCAGAAACCACAGGCGGATACCTAAACGCGATTAAACTTCTCGGATTTTTTTCATGTGTGGACGGTGGATCGTGTAGATTTACAAATGAAGTCCCACGTAATTTCCTGCATTGATTAGACGTTGGACTTAATGGGATCGAATCCACGACCCGTAAAATCCAATTTTCCCACGTGAGGTATGGGGCAGAAGTATGTTCGACTCATCGTATTTATTGATATACTAATAGCTAATAATATTTTTGTACGCGAAGTCAGTCACTTCTTTGACACCATTACTATATGTATATTTACGAGAATGCAGAGACCACGGCAAATTAGACATGGTTAGAGCAACAACAGGAAGTTACAATATTTCGTAGGTTTGAATCACGCCCGTGACAATTTATAATATATTTCTAAGGCACTTTATAAGCTAATTTAAAACATATATATCGAAATACAATACCAAAGAGCAACAAACTTATAAGACGCCACAATGAGTTTACTCAGATGTGTTTGCCGATGTTAATTGGAACCGACAGCGCGAAAGGATTATGCCCGTCTACCACTTAATTGCTATTTTCGCACCAATGATAAATGATAGCTTGGAGAAAATACGATTATGTATAAGCGCGAACGATATTACAGAAATTCTGTCTAAAATGCACGTCGAGGCGTCGGCCCCGATTATAATCACCAATTTTGTGAGTGTCGAAAGGCCACCAACACACACTCGTGCTACTCGGTAGGCCTTAGTTCCTAAACCCTTTGAGACAAAATTCCAGGCCATCATCGGAACACACAAAATTTAACTAATATATTGAAATAACCAGCTTTTTAAGGAAGTTTATATTTTGTGTGTTGTAGGTATATTACTAATAAATATGTAAACATACACTGCTTACACGAATTTGTTTTCCTAAGATGCGAATCTAAGACATGTTGTGTTTAATGCAAGGCAACTGGTTTAAAACGCGAAAACTTATTTGTCTCCCCGTGATCACGGCGGCAAAGCATCCGGATCGTCGCGCCGTATTTAAAAAAATCAAACAAGTGTAACTAATATTTATCCCGTTTTAAACCGTGAAAGTGTTTTATTTAAAAGTATAATTTGATAAATGAGACTTCCTAAAGTCTTCCAGCATTGAAAGGAAAGGTAATTGAAGTAATAACTTCATATAAAAACTCCTATTTACATCCAAATTGAGTTTCCTCAATAAAGGTAATCGTATCTTTCGCTATTCACCGGAAAACGCACCGTAGTCCCTGTAAATAGAGCACAAATTTAAAAAGAAAACCTTTGAGTAATTAACCGAAATTGTAATAACCATTGTTACAGAATTAGTATGCGCAACATTTTGTCAATTAAAAAGTAGTGTGTATAGTATATAGCATCCTGTGGACTAAAAGAGTCTTATTTTTACGTCTGCTTTTTTAGATTATAACCTGCTAACTTAATATTGCGCGTCATATAAAATCCTTTGTATGAGATCGTTATATAGTGGACAACGAATCCAGGACTCCCAATCCTTTCAGATTGCACGGGAGACTCCAGAAATCATATTCAATCTCTCGGCAATACCACGCTACGCCACATCACCTACCCAAAAGTAGAAAAATTTTACAAAAAAATGCATTCTTCACTCGAAACTGAAACTTTGATTTTTCGTTCTATATATATATATATCTATATGTACTTAAAAACACTTTGACGGATTAAAACGCGAAATATATTAGTGTAAGTTATTAGCAAATTAATTTTAACTAAAGTCCGACGCTTCGGATGTTTTGCCGCATCGTCGCAGCAGCGCAGTTCGCGCGACTGTCTGCAACGCCAATCGTAAGCCGCGATAAAAACTTCCGAACATAAAATTCTCCTAATCGCACATTGATAAAACTTTCCAAACTCATTCGGAATATAACGTCTTATTCGAAACTCATTGTACTTATGAATAATTCGAATTTCATGCAAATCCCCTGAAATATTTTATTGTAACGACTTTGCGAATCTCCGCGAGTAACTTTAGTTTAATTTGTTTTGAAGGCAAGTTTATATTTATGGTTTTATGAGTGATGAGTTCGTTAAACGTTTGTTTTTAACTGGTCTTGTTGTTTACGTGGAAAGAGTTGCCGAAAAAAAAAATTATTGATAAATTTCGAACCTAAACTTGCAATGGCTATTATACATACGAATACAATTATTAAGTCATATAGCGCCATCATGTGAAAAATATTTCAGATTAAAGGTAAATGTATAAATTGTTCTCATAGTTTCGTCACTGTAAAATAAATACATAAGCTAACACAGCTGTAGATTGGTGCTTTGTACAGTATGCCGCCATTTTTAATTTTCAATTAGATATCTCTTTATTATTGCAGTTGTGTCTAATACTTAATATTTGTCACTTAGCATGTGAGATATTAATATGTGAACATTCTTATTTTTGACACATCGGAGGAGACACAGGGAACTCTAGTGTGGTGGATAGTGTACCTAAAAATCAAAAGTAAATAATATTTTTTTGAAAATAAACAATTTATATTTGTACTAATAAATACTAATATATGTTTTTGTAAAAGCACATGAGGTCGATAAGTTTTACGTTTCCATGTGCGGCGGTAGAAATAAAACCTGGTCAGTCCTTGTTCAGAACTTCGCTGTGTAACCTCAGCACAACGTAAAAATAGCACATTACATATGCAAATTATGCCATGTTATAAATAAAAATAAACGTCCTAGTCACTGATGCGGCTCGCACTTGGCCGGTGAATGTAGTTAGTACAGACGGGGATATTTAGTAGTAGAAACTTATTTTGTAGACTTACCTGTGTCATCCATATGTATAGTGATTTCCGAATTGTTGATAGTATAGATATCTGTGTGCCTCGGATCTCTCACTCTATCCTGTAAACTGGTCGAGAAGTTCGCGGGAAATACGAGGACGGCACGAGCTCCACCGCGTTCTGCTTTTTTCATCGCTATCTCTTCGTTAGGGTAGTATATCTAAAAAAGTTATTTTTTAAGGATTAAATTTTTTAGACTTACAATCTTATTTTGCAACCAAACAACAATTTATAACTTAATCCACAGCGTTCCGTGCTGCTACTCTAAATGATAGACACGGCAGCTAGAGCAGCAGCACGGAGCGCTGTGGATGTGTTTTCAATATAATTGTAATGTAATCTGTAAGTTTGAATTTTACACAATAAATGGATTATGAAAACAAATTTGGTTTTAGCACTAAGTGAAAAATATCTTGTTTCAAATGAAGAGAATTTTATCCCACCTGTGATGACCTACATTTTTAATAATGATTGTGTATTGTGAATGTAATACGACCAGGAAAATGTAAGAAGGGCTCTCTGAAAGGAAGTTTAAAAATAAAAAGGAGAATTTAATAAAATTAGGGTGAACTTCAGCGTAATATTAGAGCTTCTTAATTATACGCAATTAATTGTTGTCACGTTTGAAACTTTATGACGCACAATTAGTCATGCTTAAATATTTTTTTTCTCATTTGTTTTTATTATGTCAAAATTTATGTATTTTTTAAAAGTAAAGTCCTTAAAAGTTAATTCATTTAGCACTTGTACTATACGATAGACTAACAAATGTCTGTCGTAAAAAAGCTTGGAACACAATTTAAATTTCATCAACAGCGTTTCGTGGTACTGCTTTAGAGCCATTACGCACTGCCCACCAGTCGCCAGCGAAGTCTCCAGGAGACCAAGCCGAACGACAATATTCCAGGGATATTTGTGCAGAATAGACGTCGATTACTAACGCTACTAATAATAAAGAAGAACAAAACCAAACGAGTGTTGGCTACATCCTATGTTACATTTGAAGCCGTGCTTCTATTGGTTGCTGGCGACCGTAAGTCGCCTGTGAGTTGCCGATACGCGGATTTTGCAGGATTTATTTATTGATACCCAATTTTAATGAGCACAGTTTAGTAACCAATTATATTAATGAATTACTAGGAAACGCGTTTAACCTCAAATTTTAATTTGAAGTTTCGCGTTTATTTGCGTTAAAAAATATAGGACAATACAAAAACACCGGTCTACCCTTGAAAAAACACATTCCTTCAACAAAAGAAAACGAGAAAAATATTCTTAGGTGAATTATTAAAATTGCACAGTAAAAGTAAGCCAAGGAAAACTATTATTTATTTATTTATTTATTTTTTTTTATTTATTTACACTTTGATACACCAAACTGAACATACAGATACTATGCAATTTATAACTATAGAGTGTACCGGGCGGCCTTATCGCTATAAGCGATCTCTTCCAGGCAACCCGAGTAGAAAGAAACTTAACGATTAATTAAAAACTATACAGTATGCAAGAAGTGCGAAACTTACTAATTACTTAAACTAAACAAAATAAACTTAAATTAAATTAAAAATAATAAAAACCCAGCAAAATAAATATAAAAAAAAAAAATAGAAAAAGGAAAGTGAAATTTATTAACATGATAAGGACAGTAGATGTTTATATAAAAGACTTTTGAAGGAAAACAAGGAAGGAGCTAATCGGACGGAGTCAGGTAGAGAGTTCCAAAGTTTTGCAGCAGAGATGGAAAAAGAGTGACCAGCAAAGTTCGTAGAGTGACTGGGAATTTCTAGTATAAACCTTTCCGCAGACCGCAGGCCATAGGTGTAAGGGCCCAAAAATTTAAAAGATCGTTTGAGGTATGTAGGAGCACTGGGATTAAAGAGGATAGAGTACAGAAGGTGTAGAGTATGCGAATCACGTCTAAGCCGAATGGGAAGCCAACCAAGCTGCTTACGGTAAGTAGAGATATGATCATATTTACGAAGGCCAAAAATAAACCGGATGCAAAAATTTTGTAAACGGTCGAGCTTGTCAAGTAGATCTTCATTCATGTCCGAGGCGCAAGAGTCAGCGTAGTCTAGAAAAGGAAGGAGAAGAGATTGGGCGAGAATAGTTTTGGTAGAGATAGGGAGAAAATTACTTAACCGCCTTAAAACACAAGAAGTTGCATACAATTTGCGACCGACCTCCTTTACATGACAATCCCAAGATAGCGTTTGATCTATAAAGACACCCAGGTTCTTTACGGAGTTATACACACCCAAGGTAACGCCGTCAATGGTTATAGGAGGAAGTAGAGCATAGTCAAGTCTGGACATGTAATAGGGACTTCCGATAATAATGACTTGGCTCTTGGTGGGATTGATTGTAAGACCAAGATCATGGCTCCAATCAACGACCTTGGCCAATTCACTATTAATTGTCCAAATAGTTGACGGTAGGTTATCAAGGGAGGACTGCGCATAAATTTGAAGGTCATCCGCATAGCAATGGTAGTTAATAGAAAGCCTAGAAGTAAGGGATTTCAAAAAAATAGAAAAAAGGAGAGGCGATAGTACGCCACCCTGAGGAACACCGGCAGTTACTTCACACCATTGTGAAACGGATTCATTTGTCGAAATACGTTGGCGTCGTCCATAGAGATAGCTAGAAAACCAGTCAATTATAGATAAAGGAATATTACACGATCGAAGTGCAGCTAAAAGAAGTTCAAAGTTCACAGAGTTAAATGCATTGCTAAAATCCAACAAAGTAAGAACTGAAAGTTGTTTCTCATCCATTCCTTGACGTACATCATCAAGCACCTTAATTAAAGCAGTGGTAGTGCTGTGACCTGGACGAAAACCAGATTGCAGCGGATCAAGAAAAGAGTTTGTATTTAAATACTCGCTTAGTCGCAGGTGGACGAGACGCTCAAGGACTTTGGAAAAGAAAGGAAGGATAGAAATAGGCCTAAAATCAGAGAAACTAATTGGATTAGATTTTTTAGGAATAGGGACTATCAGACCATCTTTCCAGGCGGATGGGAAGCTAGAAGTTTTAATTGATATATTAAAGATGTGAGTAATAAGGGGCAGGATAAAGGGGATGATGGGTAACACCATAGCCCGACCTATCTGGTCACTTCCAATTGCATTTGAGGAAAAGGAAGATATGCACTTCTCCACATCTCGATCAGTAAATTCAGTGAGAGAAAAGGGCAAGGTCGGAGAGGAGGAAGAATTAAAAAGAAGAAGAGAACGTTCTAAATTAGTTATATCTAAAGAAGAGGAAGAAGTAAAATGGGCGTTAAGGTGGTTAATATCGAAATCAGTAGGTAAAGCATTATGCATAGGTTTGCCAACACCCAAAGATTTCAGAAACTTCCAGATTTTGGCCGGATCTCCGTTTGATACAGCAGCGTGAATATGGCGCCTCTGAGCATCTCGACAGCGAGTGTTGCATTGATTTCGAATCCTTTTGTACCTTTCTCTCTCAGCCTCGGATTTTGCTGCTCTCATTTTTGCTTTGGCGCGATTCTTTTTATTTATCAAAAGTTTTATTTCCTCAGAGAGCCATGGTGCAGGTAAATGTTTTATTTTTATAGATTTTAATGGGGCATGCTTATCGAACAGGTTAATAATAAGTGAATTTAATATGGCAACTTTATCATCAATCGAGAAGGGCTCGTACACCGCATTCCAATTCACGTCTGCTGCATCATTCAGTAAAGATTCCATATTAATTTTACTAAAATTGCGGCGAAGTACTATAGTGGGTTTAGCTTTAGGTGGCTTAAGGTTACAAGACAAATAAATAAGGTCGTGGTGAGAAAAGGCATCTGCGGGTAACTGGCCATGCAAGGAAACAAAGCTAGGAGTGGAAACAAAGATAAGGTCAAGTAGGGACGATTGGCAACCTGGAACTTTGTGCGTAGCACTCAGTGGCAGATTATGTAGGTTGAAGGACTGAATAATGTTAAGTAGCTTTTTTGATCTATGGTCGTTTTTTAAAAGGCAAGTGTTGAAATCACCCATGATTATAACATTTTTAAACAGAGGAGTGAATTTATCAAGGATGTTTTCAAAACTGGCAAAAAAATCTACAGACAGAGACGGGGAATAAAATACTCCTAAGAGAATTTTTGTGGAGGAGAGTCGGACTTCAATTAGCAAATGTTCTGCAGCATTAGGAGGAGGGGGTTGAGGAGACTAATAATAGAGAAAGGGATATGGGACTGTAGGTAAATAGCAACACCTCCCCCACGGCTACCAAGACGATCATTTCGAATAAGGTTATATCCTGGGAGAGAAAAGGTATGGGAAGTGAGACTGGGATTGAGCCATGTTTCTGATATTAAAATGGCATGAATATCTTGAACAACCAAGGTTGCCAAAAGATCAGTATAGTGCGCTGGAACACTTTGAGCATTAATGTGAATAGCATTGAAATTCTTAGGGAGGTTCGTAAACAGAGAGGAGAGGGCAGCATCTAAGGTAGGATTAAAAGAGTGTGTACTAAGAAAGGAATCAGTATCAGATGACGCTGCAGAAAGATAATCATCAGAGATATCACTGTCCTGAATCATTTGATTGGGTTTCACTCTAATATTTATTAATATTAAATTAACACTAAACTAACAAAAAAATAATTTAAATTCGGATATGCTAAGTTCCAAAAAATATATATATATATATACTTCAATGCACTAATTCGCTAAAATGTAAAGATAGGCATACTATGACACTAACATAATATAGTTAAGGTAATTAAAGGTGGCTAGCGAAAGCTGTAAAAAACTTAATGTTTACAACTGAAAAATCCCATCACACTTATACTCCATATTAGATGTTTACATAAGTAGAGTATAAAACTATGTTAAAATTTTATTTGCTGTAAAAATTATATCTTATCTTTTATAAACAAACAAAAACAACAGACTCATTGCTCAAAACTACATATTCAATTCCCTTATAGTCAGAATAAAAGAATTACAGGTTACATTGTAATGGAGAATTGTCTTCATTAGGATGATTATGTGACAATATTTGAAAAAGGAAAAGATATACACTTTTTGAAATTTGTTGCATTGAGTAGATAACAATATAAACACTTAGAAAGTAATCATAGAACAAGTCTTAATCTTAATAACTTTCATTGTAAACTATAACCCTATTAATATTACCTAGGGAGTATTTCCTAAGTGAGCCATAATAATAATTATGTAAACTATGCATGTAAAGCACTCAATGTAGTATTAAATGTAATTTGTAGTGTGATGTTTATTTACAATCTCTGACACATGTTGACGTTTTACTTATATTATGACATAATGACATATTGACAACTTCAGTAGTGTTGCCTTGTTAAAAATATTTGCATTATACGCGTATAAGTGTCACTATTGAGGCAACTGTTATTGAGATTAAGCTAAAAAGCTAGCTGTCATATGTCACTAGTCAGCTGATGAAAACATGAATGTAAACATTAATTATGAACTGATTTCCTTATCATATTATCAGTAAATAAGAATAAAAACACTGCATATGCCAACCACCTATCACACACATTACTAAATATATCTTAACACCGAAAGTACAACAAGTTAAGATACTAAAATACTACTAAACACTAAAACTATTGTGAGTGAAAACAAAATAGTTGCCCTCTCCAATTAGTTACATGGATTTGACGAATAATTTCGAAATTCCTACCGCGTCCCTAATAAAATTAATAGCGTTACATTATAATATAATTGATGTCGTGACTGGGCTCTACAATTTGTATAATTGTGCCCTATTTTAATATTATGCTTCCGTTGGCAGAGCACTAATGGCCGGCTAACAATGGCGACGTCGTTCTACTATGAAATAATCTTTAAGGCAAAACTTTGCTGGAGATATAACCAAGCTGTGCGACTTCGTACGTAAGACATAGTTATTTTGGAGATCATAACTCACTGATGTAGTAAAAAACTCACTAAGATTTAAAAAACTCCCGGTTTTTTTTTCCATTTCCCGCTTTTCAGGCGCCTCTATTAGTTACAGTGATGTTTTATAGCTTATAGCCTTACTCGATAAATGCTCGAACCAATACAAAAACATTTTTTCAATTCGAACCATTACTTCCTGGGATTAGTGCGTTCAAACTAACACACATACTAACTAACTAACATATTCTTGTTATTTTAACATTATTTCAAGTTAGGTTTTTAGACTTACCAAGTTATTCTGTCTCTTCGATAAGAAGTCCAGATATTGACAACTGAACCTCGTCAAGTTCCACTCCCATGTCTCGGGGTCTTGCGGGCACCTGTTCTTGTCATAGTCACAAGGCACATCGGTGTTGTTTGGTCCGAGTTCGTAATTTACAACAGCGATAGGCAGACCGACTGGATAGTGTCCAATGGCCAAGCAGAAGAGGACCATTTGGGATAGCGGTAGACCGATGATGAATGCAAGAAGTCTGGAAAGAAGAATGATTTAAATAAAGCTTTTGTAACTGTTGAAAAAGCGAAATATATTAGTTAACTTATTTTTAATTAATTTTAACTAAGACCTGACGTTTAGTATGCCGCAGCAACCACAGTCATGACGGGACCAAAGATTGATAGCGTTCCTAATGTAAAAGTCAAATCTAATAAATGCGTACTACTCGCGTAAACTACCGACAATACGACAAAACGAATACTCATACGAAGTTTTAAAGAAGGAGGATGGGCAGGTTTCATTTAATGGAATGTAAAAACCAGACTAACAGCATCTAAGCAAAATGAACTACCAATATCTTTTGCCTGTAGAAGATATTCAGAAGCTATTTTAACGAAGGGAACAAACCAGAATGTTTCATCTTACCCAAAGTTCCTGAACAGACTCCAGAAGTTCTTCCAAATAAGTGCCTTCATGTGGTGGGATCGCATGGGCTTGATTCTCTCCAGGTAGCCTTCTGGAGGCTCTTCATCCGGAGGTAGAGCTTCTACTGGGGATGTCAGGTCTGCTATGACACTTCTGCCTTTGCTACTCATTGACACGTTGTCACCAAACTCGCCAGATATTTCGCCAATTTCATCTTCTACGTTTATTGATGTGGGATCCTGGAAAAACAAATGAAGTTTATAACAAAAATTATTCATTTATAACTAAGCCTCAGAAACCTGTTTAATATGATCTAACAGAAGTAAGATTCCAGTTTCGGCATTCGGGCGTAACCAATTCTTCTTATCTAAGACAAATAGATTTTCTTTACTAGTCTATGGCAAATACTGCAGTAAATAATTCAAGGCGTTACATCAACTGGGTACTTTTAACCTATTCTGGCTACCGATCTATTATTTTTGTTATTCGAAAATCCACAGACTGATGCCGAAATGCGATTGAACTTACGGCTTTTTCATCTGTGGATGTGTGTGACCCGGACGGAATTTCGATATTCCTACGGCCCATTTAATATTCAGATTTCCAGACGAAGTCAGAACATGTTTCAGAATAATTATAAAGTGGTTAGAGATATTTTAGACCCGGTGGGGACCGCATTCACGATCCGAAACTACTTAAGTGTTTTTGACTCGCCAACAACTTATGTTTCTTTGAAACACATTGGTTTCCATCTCCCAGTTAGCCGAATTAGATAAAAAAGATCTATATGATCTAGGAATTTGTTTTTACTCACTGGAATAGCTGGTATCTCTACTTTCTCTACAACGTCAGCGAGAATACTGGATCTCCTTCGTTTGCCAAGATTCTGCAGAACCGATAGCTTAAGGAATACATCTTCGAGGCTCTCAGCCTGGTACCGTCTGATCAGCTCAGTTGGTGACTCTTCAGCAAGGAATCGACCACCGCGCATTAGACCGATCTGAGAGAAAAAGGAAATCTTTATTCATTGTTAGATAACGAATAATCAATCTTCAACTTGTTTCCACTTTCTGGGGAAGAGGAGAAACATAATTGTCTGTTTCAGCTAGCACGTAGTTAATGAGACTTCTATAGTTTACCTTGCCCTAACAAAACTATCCTTTCCCGAAATTAGAATCCAAGACGTCTCGCTCTTAACAATTGAACTGCTAGGCTCCTGCTAGGTTAAATATTGAACTAAAGAGGTGGACAAAAGTCAACACATTTAAACACTTTAACGGTTTAAAACGCGATATATATTAGTTAAACTTATTTAAATATTATTTTACCAACGGTCCGACGTTTCGGATGCTTTGTAGCAGTCGTGGTCACGGGGAGACATTTATAAATTGCGTTTTAAACCGATAAAGTATTTCATTTACATGTGTACTATTTATTATTATCTATGTACATTAACGAACATCTCGAGTTCTATTATTTATTGCATAGATAAAGGGCTCGTAACGTTATACCGCACTAAAGATATTTTGAGTATGAAAGATATCAGAAATTTACATTTTAGCGAGCGTCGGGAGCGAAATGCTATTTAAAATGTTGGAAAATGTCTCGTTGTTACAAAATTTTTCAACAGGTTCTTGACTTGAACGACAAATGCGGTGGAAAATTTCACTTTAATGGATGCAGCCGAGTGAGACTGCAAAATTCGTTGCTTGCTGAAATTTTATTCCAGAATATTCCATAGCTAGTTAGTACAAGTATGACGATTCTGTAAAAATTGGAACTACATCTGAGATTCATTGGTTTATGTGTAGCATTGCGAGAGGTCTTAGACTTAAATCCTAGTAGCCTAGACATTTCTATGTCCTATTAGGACACGGAAATGTGTTTGTCCCATGCCCCGTAGACAGAAACACCCAGGTGTTTCTCAGTTAGTGTAACTCGTTATTCAATATATTGTTATCATACTTAAGTTATATTAATAATAACAAACATATACTTTAAGATTATATGTACCAATAAAAGTGTGTTTTAAGTAAATTTAACATACATTTGTTATCTGACAACAACCCATCAAAATCAGTGTTTTTTTTATAACATAAGAGTTAAATTGAACCTAATTAAAAATATAGGAAATAATCATTGGAGATATTAGATGTAACTGTGTTTGATCTGTGAGAACCAATTACTGTTTGAAAATCTAAAATACATTGAAAGAATTTTCGACTCGGGCAGGACTTGAACCGGCATCGTCAGCGTTCCGTGCTGTTCGTCTAACCAATTGAGCTACCTCAGACTAGAGTCTCACACCACATCGTCGAATTTTTCCAACTTATTAAAACATGCACCTGTCACGCAATGTAATTTCAATCTTAGCGTTTGCGCATTGATTTTTTCAATTTCCTTTCGATTTTCAATCTATACAGTGCCGTCATGTACAATAACGTTAAAAAAAGACTAACGTTTCAGACAAAACAATCTTCTACAAACAGTTTTATTTGTATATAAGGAACGGCGTAATCAAATCTAAAGTAAATGTACGTAAAAAGAATGCCTCAAAGAGGTTTTAATGTGTGTAATCAATATACAACTTACAATGTTCGCCTGTTTGGTCTCATCAATGTAATGCGTGGTGATGATCACAGTCGTTTTGCCTCCCTTCGTTATATCCACCAGATGGTCCCAGATGCTGAAACGCGATTTCGTAAAATGTCTCGCTTATAATTGCTAAGGTATTTGATATCACTATCGTGTCATGTCAATGTCAGTCGTGGGTTCGACCCCACCACTTCCAACATGTTTTTAATGGTTTTATTTTTTTTCTGAAACATGTTGAACGTTTAAATGCATAAAATTATAGTAAACTTTCTAACCAATAACAATCCTTTTTAAATAAAACACTAACGTGACCACGGCTGCTGCAAAGCATCCGAAACGTCGGGCCGAAGTTAAAAATCATTTCCAAATAAGTTTAACTAATATATCGCGTTTTAAACCGTTAAAGTGTTTTATTTAAATGTGTACTACTCGCGTAAACTATAGACAGTGTGTTGAATGTTATCTGGAAATCTGGATATTGAATGGGCGGTAGGAATATCAAATTTCCGGACCACCGTCTACAGATAAAAAATAAGTTTAATCGCGGTTCGGTCTCAGTCTGTGGATCTTGTTGTGGGGTCCTGGGGTATTTGACCTTCCATCAAGTGGACCAAGGTTAAAATGAAAACAGATTATAGATTGAATAAATTCTACAACACGGGCGGGACTTGAACCGGCATCTACAGCGTTCCATTCTGTTGCTTCAACCAATTGAGCCACAGTGCACTACGCGTCATCGTCGATTCTTTTTCAACCTATTGATATATGGACCTCTCGCTTGTCTGTCCTCCCCTCAATCTGGGTTAACATATGTGTGTAATACCTCTGTCGCAGCACTGGATCTACGCCTACAGTAGGTTCGTCGAGGATTAAAAGCTCTGGCTCGTGAAGAAGAGCTGCGGAGAGGGAAACTCGCCTCTGCTGACCTCCAGACAGATTTTTAACTTGTCTGTAACAGATAAGCAATAATTTACAAAAAATGCAGCTATCTTTTTTTATGAGACTTTCGCGGCCATATTAGCTTAGTCAAGAATGATATAAAGACCATCTAAATCTATACTAGTATATAAATATGAAGAGTTTGTTCGTTTGTTTTGTTTGTATGTTTGAACGCGCTAATTTCAGGAACTACAGGTTCGAATGGATAATTTGTGTTGGTTAGAGTATTTAACGAGAAAAGCTAAAACATTATTATAGATACGGCATCTTCGCTTGTATTAGGCACAGGGCGAAATGTTAAAAATAAGGAAATTTTACACAGGAGGTTTGCAAAAACAAATTTTGATGTACAAATTAACTTTTCTATGGGTCGTAGATACACCTAGTAAATAATAAATATGACTTAAGAAATTATTTTGATAAGAATAAATTAAAATTACTTCTAACCTCGAGGGGTTCGGCAACTGCAATAAATCAACGAGGAAGTCTATTTTCTCCTCCACTTCCCTGGTGGTCATCCCGGAAATCCAGCCAAAATATATCATCGTTTCCCGGATGGAGAATTCTCCGAATAATGCGATTTCCTGAAAATTCATTTTTTGTATTTATATTTATGAGTAGTTATGAAAGCAAATACATTACTAAATGAAGCATTGTTGACGGTTTAAAACGCGAAATTTTAAGCATTAAAAGTGTTTTCTTTAAATATGTACTACTCGAGTACACAAGACACTATTTAAGTATATATCTGTGCTTTTGCTAATTTGATTAAATATTATAGGTGAAGATATCGGATCACAGTATCCTACCGACCGAAATGTTCGCACCCAGGAGCTTTCGCGCTTAACACAATGTCATGGATCGCGTTACTACCGTAACCATTAAATAATATATATTTATTGAGTAGTAACCAATAGCTCTATTCAATACTAAATACTTATAGTCCTTACTAAAATTATAAATGCGAAATTAACTCTGTCTGTCTGTCTGTCTAACTGTTACTCTTTCACGCCAAAACTACTAAACAGATTTGAATGAATTTGGCATACAGATGGTCTAGACCCTGAAAAAGGACATAGGCTACTTTTTATTGCGAAAATGGGGTTGTAAGGGGTTAAAAGGGGGATGAAAGTTTGTATGGAAATTCATGGTTTTTGAAGCTAGAATAATGAAACTTTCTTCTTTGGCTTTTTGGTAATAGGAGTGGGAGTGGGAGCGGAAGTGGGAGTGATAGTGAGAGTAGGATTTAGAGTAGGAGTGATGTGAGGTGAGAGTGTTGCGGCAAATGAGCACTTACCATAGATTGGCTGCCTTAAATGCGCCCTTACCTACATAAATTAATAGACTGCCTATATAATTCAAAATTCTACCCCAATTCACTATTTCACGCGGACGAAGTCGCGGGCAGAGCTAGTCAATAATAACTTTGTTATTTGCATCACAACACGCATTTACAACTCTATATAAATATACAATATTTAGTTATCAATGATTTTTTAACCTTTGTAAAATTAACGTTTGTGACGTAGAAGATAAAATAAATCCTTCAAAGAAACATAAAAAAAATCATGGCGCATCCATAAATAATAATGAAATCGAAATCATTAAACATATTTACGACTGCTAAAACGCTCAAGTATGACATCTAAGCACAGTTTAATCAAACCAGTTGGACCTCCACACCAAGTGTTTTGTCAAACAAAATTTCAGCTTCTAGATACTCTGTAATATTAGGTTATTATAAAAATTGTGATCTCAAACAATTATTCAAGCGGAAATAATTTGAACAACAACTATAAAACGAATTCCACTTTACATCTTAACTCTTACAGGGCCTTTAGAGACTAAAGGGCTAAGTTTCGTCCGATTCTCACCTACTCCAGCGTCGCGTTCGCCCACGCCGCCCCTAGCACACTCCACAAGCTCCAGTTGCTTCAGAATCGGTTCACTCGAACCGCTACCGGAGCCATCTGGTGCGTGCGGAATGCTAATCTCCACGCCGATCTCGGATTACCGACCCTCAGTCGGTACTTCAAGGAAACGTCCGAGCGTTTCTTCAAAAAAGCCGCGACGCATCCGAACCCACTGGTGGCCCGGGCCGCCAACTACACCGTTCCCGTCAACACACGCTGGAGAAGGCCGCGTAACGTTCTCTCCGATCTCGCTGACAACTTAACCACAGCCGTCGAAACCCTCGTCGCTACGCGATCGACCGGCACCGGTGCCGATCGCCCGCAAAACCGCCTACGCCGGCGTAGGCGAGGTCATTCGCTACGCGTACCGCTCACCCGGGTGAGCTTCCGTCCAGCTCCTCAAGCTCCCACCCGCATTGCGGCGGTCCAAGCCGAGGCCGTTGCCCCCCCTCGGGGCACCCTTGGTCTAGCCGCAAACACGGCGAGCGCTCTCGCGCTCGCCCAAAACGCCCGGTTAGTATTCGTGGCTCCATAGGAACACAATACGTAATAGTCAATTCAAAAAAAAAAAAAATAAAGGGCTAAGACTAAATATATATTTTGGATGTAAAGTAAAAGAATATCACTAGAATAAGAGGGTATAGATTTTGTTTAATTTCATACGTTCTATTTTAAAATAATTTAAAAAATATCGATTCAATAATAATCGAATAATCGATAACGATTTTTGTAGAAGGGTAGGGGCCCGTGATTGGGTTAACCCACTAATTTATATTATTTACAAGTTAAACGATTTTACAGTTTCGCCTAACTGTTCTAATTAGTCTGTGACTTGAGGCATTTTACGTAGGTTTTTATTACACGAGGATCTTAATAACATTGAAGTGTGACTTTAATATAAATGAATATGTTTATTTCGACCTTGTCATATTTTTTTTCTCTCCTTTTCATATTCGCCTATTAATTACATAATATAAGATATAACTGAGTAGTTAAAATGTAATTATATTAATCGGTAATACTACTTTTTTGATGAACGAGTTCGTTGTTACAATACAAAACAAATAGTCAACTGGTTCGATTCCCACCGGGTTCACGATTTTTCGAAAAATGATATTTCAATTTAATCGTTATTTGGATATTAAATCGTTAGAAAGAATATCGTTATTTCGTCTGGATCACGAATCATCAAATTTAGAAAAGTCGCAAAGTATTGTGTTTTGGTGTAAGTCTGTCGATTTCTGAATGTCCCAACCAAAACAGGTCGACAGCGCAACGTGTTAAAATGTCATACGGGGAATTTCAACTTTGATATAGTGAACATAACGCTTTTATTCTGCCATAAAATCGTTAGCACATGACCGCTTTGCTTCAGTAGATATAATTAAAGAAAACTTATGAATAAGAAAGGATATAGAACAATAATTTGACTTGTTAAATTTTTAATATTTCCTATTTGTCCAATAAAATAAATAAAAAATAGCACAGTCGAGAATAGAACCTAAAATATTTTCATTATATCTTTATAGTTATTAGCTGTAATGTTAGAGGTTTATACTTTCACAAACCACGGTTTACTATTATTACTACGAAACTCACTTGTGGCATATATCCTATCCTAGGGCCTGGAACTCCACTGCCAGGGCTGCCTGGTCTTCCACCGAGCACCCATATCTCTCCAGAGTTCAATCTTCGTCTACCCACTATGCACGAGAGGAGGGTAGTCTTTCCGCAACCCGATGCGCCGAGAAGACCGTATCTACGTGAAGAGAAAAAAAAATTAAATATTGTCTGTAGTTACGCGAAACTTAAAAAATATTTTAAAAAAGCACTTTGAACAGTATAAACCGTGGTGAAAAGGGAAAAGCTGCTGCTAAGCATCTGAAACGTAGGGCCGTAGTTAAAATAAATTGGAAATACGTTAACAAATTCATTTCGCGTTTAAAACTGTTTTATTTAAATGTGTACTACGCGCAAAAGCTACATCATATTTATTTACTACTATATATACTTGATTTGACTACTGTGGTTTGTCTGTCCAAAATATTTTTACAGAACCTCACGTGCTTAATGCAATGCTAGGCTACATTCAAAAAATTATTATTTTATATATTAATATACACACTAAAAAGAATAAAAGATATTTCTCATAAAACATAATAACGAAAAATTCATATACTTATTATGTATTCGTTGCAAACACGAGAATTAAATATTAATAATTACATAAGGATATGTTTGTCATAGTATACAAATATTGCGACTTGGTGCGAAAGTCCTATCTTTACATAGGTCTACAACATAAAACAGGGTGGCATATCTGTAACCTAACTAATTATGTGATATACATATTATATAGACCTATAATTTATTTACATTTTCATTAAAATAAATGCGCATTTGCCGTTGTCCCTGTTCAAACCGTAACAAAACAAATTATAACATGAAACGATCTTTTTTAATTTATATAATTAACAACAGCCCGACGCTCCGATGCTTTGAGAAATTTGCAGGCCCGGGGCAAAGCTATATTTTACGCGATTTAAACCGTTACAATTGTTTGATTTAATTGCGTAAACTACAGACAAGGCTTTAATATTTTCATAAATGATATCGTTTGAGCTGCCTTTACAACAAAATCATATTTTTTAATTTTTTATTCTGACTTCGACTTAATTATCTTTTTTCCTTATTTCCAGAAAATATTACCTATTCGCTTGACGTATTTGTTTTTCATGTAACTTTAATTAATCGTATTGCCTAGCAGATAACATTCTTTGGGATACAAGGTCTAATCAAATACGGACCTATAAAATTGAACAATACGATAGACACAGAAAAATGTCTGGACCAAGCATTTCATAGAGAAGACGGAATAACACTTTGTACTATAGACAAGACCCGAGTTCTTTTAAACCTTTGCTTTATTATTTTTTATTCCAGTTAACAAATAACTAGTTTCATAAAAAAACAACAAACGTTATTTTTAACTCGGCATAACTGTAACTGGTTCTAGATAGGTTTTTCCCAGTGAGGTATTTTAAATAGATATATACGAGAGTAACTTTTCAAAACGTTAATATAATCTGTTCCTTTTCATTATCTGTACGTACACTCATATCTTATTTTATAAATAAATGATAACAAGGAATTTAGTAAAAAGATTATTAAATTAAACATAGATTGGTCTAAAAATTATATTTCGGTTTAACCTGAACTTAGGACCTTGAAATTTGTAGTGTACTGACCATTAGACCAACGAAGTCGTTAACAAATTAATCTATACTAATCTTATAAGTTGGAGAGTTTGTTTGTTTGAAGGCGCTAATCTCAGGAAATATTGGATCGAATTGAAAAAATATTTTTGCAGTGGTTGGACATTTGGCTGTGACCAATAGAAGCTTGGCTCTCCGCTTCAACAGTGAGAAATTATTAAAAAATAATGCATTTTCTTGTCTGTAACAGTTTACATTATACTTTTAAGATTATCTGGCACGAACCGGTTTTATAACAAGCAAAATTTCGTCGAAAATTTCGTCTCGAAATACTTCACGTATTTCGACCAAATTTTGATGATGAACATTTTCCAGGTCAGCTAGTATATTATATAATACATAATTCAAAAGATACTCACATTGCACCTTTCGGAACGGTCATATTTAGTCCATCTAGAATAACGTTAGGATTCTTTGTCGGCCCATATTTCTTATGCGCCCTCCGTACGCAAACTGCTTGCTGTCTTCTAGAAGATAATGTAGACTTCTGTGGCTTGAGCATTCTGTTTCTGCGGATTGCCAGTTCATCTTCAATTGTGCTCGGCTTCTGATCGCGGACATCCTCCATCGATATCGTGGCGCCTTCATTGTCGTAGGCTGGCATTTTTCTAGAAACAAAACAAAGCATATATAAAATGTACTAAGAATCATTACGGTTAGCAGATGCCGGACATACCGATCCATATATATATACTAATATATAAAGATGAATAGTTTGTTTGTTTGAACGCGATAGTCTCAGGAACTACTGGTTTGAATTGAAAATGTTTGTGAGGGATAGAGTTTGACATCCAGGAAGGCTCTACATTATAAAACATTGTCCCCGTTATTTCCGTTGCTTCCTCTCTGACAACGGTTCAAGTTACCCAAATAGAATGTCAGAAAGAATGATTATTTTTTATATAATCCAGAAAAGACGTCGTGGGAAACAGCTATAAATTACTAACGATAACTAATTTTTATGCCCAAGTTAACTATCCTACGCAGCCTAAGTCGCGGGCACAGCTAGTATTATAATATAAAACACATTATACATAAATTTTGTAAGGCTTTCACGGCCATCGTTCAGCATATCATTGTCTTTCGGGCTGCTCGGCCGATGTAAGCGAGAAGAGGTCGAACAGCCCGAAGGAATGATAAACATTATACATAGTTTATTAAAATCATATTCAGACCAAAGTACCAAGAATCGAGGCATGGAAAATCACAGTTTCGACGTCAATTCCGCAGTTTGTTGCGTGACGTCATAGTATGTGTTGTTGGCTACAAAAAAACAAGTTATATATCTTTATGAATGACGTCAGTGATAAGTGAAATGATTTAAGAATGAATAAATTAATGGGATTTTAGCGGTATTGGCCGTGACTATTTTTTTTTAGTAAGTACTTCCACTAGGTACAACTTGGTTAATAGTTAGCTTTTGCATAAAAACGCATTTACAGTAATATAAAAAATATACAATTTATTTCACACTATTTTAGTATACTGTCTGATTGATTATATTTATTATTAATTTATTTTATCGACTAACAAACATTAACACACTGGTTTGATAGATAAATGGATCGATGGTCTGATAAATAAACAACGATTATTATAAGAATACAAAACATGATAACACGAAAATTGTTCGGATTAAAATGATAAATTGGGGGGGTAGTTTTGTTTTATAGACAAGACGGCCGAACGAAAGTACAGCGTGCTGGCTGACACTTTTTAACCGCCCGAGCGAGTTGATTGTGCACAGTTTTTGATGTTTATGTGACTGCCAAGTAATAGTAAGTTTAACTCCTTAACTTACATATGTAACAGAGGTATTTCAATATTGTCATTGTAATTTCCGCGAGTCCAGTGCGTTATGTGTGTCGTAAATTCAGTGTGCATACTACTGGTGACTTGAGTTTAAAAGCTCAAACAACAACCCCCTTTGTTTCTTAATATAATTCTATTCCCTGTTGGGCTCCCTTTTATCTCAGTTATGAAACAGACAGACACGCCTTAATAATAGTGCAATAGTGCAATTAAATCAGATCAACCACGGGACCGTAGGTATGTACTTATTAAACTGTGTATCGATTTTTACCGTTTTTGTCTTCGTACCGTGTGTAGTGCACTAGTACACGTCAAAATAAAACTATTTTAACGGTTTAAAAATACATCTTATAACTATTGTCGAATAAAGGATAAATAGTTTCTGAGGTTTGCCTAAAGAGGCAAAAGGGATACACTGCTGCATTATTTGAAACTCATTTTTCCATACTAAAGAATGTTATATAAAGATAATTTACATTTTAAATTTGTCCACTTTAATTAAACTCATAATTACTAATTAATTTCTATACACAATGAGCCTTCTCGTCCATAAATAACTGGTTTTAAGTTACAAGTTCTCATGTAATGCAAAACAAAGAACCACTTCAATTTACTACAAAATACGTCACATTTATGCGAGATGCAAGGCTAGCTCATCTAGAAAACGGAAATCCCTGACATTAACGGAAATGAATAGAATGGTATGTTTATAGTTTGTGCCTTTTCTTGTCAACAAATGATAGTATTTTTTTTGTAAAATATTGTATAACTACGACTGCGATAGACGTGCAGTAAATTCTATTGGTACGTCGTCAGAATTGTACACGTTTACGCTGTTGCCTGTGTTTTGGACTGGCTCTTTGGTTAATGGTATCAATGTATGTTGTGTGTTGTACATGTTTTTAATCAATATATAAGACACAGAAGTCTGGATTACTACTTGCCTGATCAGACCATACAAAGAAATGTGTTTGCCCCATGACCCATGGGGGGAAACGGGATTTCACACATCTAGTAGTAGTTGAATCCATATTCCGTTGATTTTTTGCTGAACATAAGTAATGAAAGTCAATACCAGTAGCTAGTACATCAAGTGTCAATAAGGATAAGATAGTCTGTTTGATAACTGTGTTACGTGATTTTAGCACATTGTTGATGCAATAGATAAATTAATAGCTTCTTTACGACCTATTATTTGTTTTTCAAAGTGTCGGAAATGTCTATCGGAAAATCCTTTTAGCACTTCACTTGTATTATTTGCTGATTATTATTAAGAATAAGAAAAGTTTATTACGTAAAAAGGGTCATATATCAAATTTCGGTCGTATTGTTAATAGTTCCAACAAAATTGAATAAAACACTTTAAAAGCAGGTTAAAATGCGACCTATATATCTCACTATCAGTAGTTTACACGTTAAAAATTTAAACAAAACACATTATTGGCTTAAAACGCAATATATATTAGTTAAACTTATTTGAAAATTATTTTAACTACGGCCCGACGTCGGACTTATCCAAATTAAACCGTTAAAGTGGTTTAATGGCCCCACGTTTCGATTGTAATCAGTAGCGTTTTATAATATAAAAAGAAGAAAGTATATTATAAATCTTAACGATTATTTATAACTATATTAAGAAGTTTAATATTTGTTGAGAGTTAATCATTACTTAACAATATAAAGTGTACAAAACATAATATTTGCTAAATAAAAATACTTTTAAAACTTCCCTTAGAAGAATTTAAAACTCGCCTCGTTTCGTCTAAGATAAGACTAAGCTTTGTCCTAATGTGAGAAATAAAGACAAAAGCCATTTACTATCGGAATATGTACTTCTTCTTCTTTCTATTTATTTCAATTACTTTAATAGTTTCGAACGCAATTGTGAACTAATAACGTGCACGTGCATTGAAACCCAATCCAAATGTCAGTTTTGTTTGACATCTGTCATCTAGCAATTCTAAGCGGCCGCCATATTTTGAAATAGCTACATTATTTTTACACAAGGTCATAATTAATATCCTCGTGTCTTAAAGATTAATAACACCGTGTTAATTTTAATTTTACACCAATCTTATCTAGCATAAAGTTAGTAAAAAATCTTTTAAAAAAATTAAGATTTTGTAGCACCGACTGCGGGCGTCAAAAAAACCGGTTCGGTTTGTGGCAAAAAGTTAAAAATCACGAGTTTAGTGGTCCTCGCGCGTCATTGTGGCAATAATTCGCCGCCGACCTACGTCATTTTGAAAAAATATCTCACTCGTGATTTTTATCTTTTACCTCGTCAACGTTTATTCTTAAGAGTCATTAGCTGGAATGCGCTATTTTTATTTAGCGTGCCATAAGCTATTTAAAATTCCCTTTTTGTTTCTTATTTTGTCCATAATTACATACCAAGTTACCAAAAAATACAATTTTAGAGGCATTTTTTATCTCGTATAGTTACCGAGTAGATTAAGTACTTGAAGTTTTTTATTTTTTGTTTTATCATAATGGTTTCTAAAGTACAATATGGTAAAATCTTTTGATGTCCAAAAACATTGACACGTAAACATTTAAATAATGTTTAAAACGCGAAATATATTAGTTAACTTATTAATTAATCTTTATTACAGCCCGACGTCGACGGCTAATCCTAAAAGTGATAAATAAGCAAGTCTTATATAGGAATATCTTATCTAAATTTATTTTTTAATTTTCATGTACCTCCCAAAAACATCACCACCCACACATAACATTAATGCTACTTTAGGAAACAAGTCGCAATATTTTAATCAAATTAACAAATCTCCTTAACATCGGACCCACAATGCAAATGTTCAAGGCTATCCCGTATATGGAGTACGGATCCATCTTGTTACACATATATTACATACTAGCTGTGTCAGCGACTTGGGCCGCGAGGATCGTTAGTTTTTGCAAACCCCTTTATTTATACAAACTTAAGCCGTGACCCACGACGTCGTTCTTGAAAATTAATCTTAATTATATAGCGTTTTTGAAGTTTTTTAGATCATTCACAATGATGAATAAAAGTCGCAGTTTTTTTCACATTTCTTACTGTATCTTCGCTTGTATCAGTCACAGGGCAGCCTGCATAAATGCTCAAACCAACACAAAGATAATTTTTCAATTCGAACCCGTAGTTCTTGAGATTAGCGCGTACAAACAAACTAGTCAGCTTTATGTGTAACCCGTTTTGCCATTTACTGAAACCGAAAAGTCCCCGAATAAACATTAATCTGACGAGTCGCCAAAAATTCGCAATTACCATAGAATTAAGGGCCATGCAACGAAACTATGCCATGGTCTTTTCCATACTCGTTTCATTGTCAGTGATCGATTATACGTTATGCAATAATCGAGTTGATACGTGAGGTTATCTTAAGTCGTCCTCATAATTACAGAGTACGGCGCGTTATGTTTAAGTCATCACATGGTAAGCCTCTCAAATATTAAATTACTTGTCTTTTCATTCACACAGCGATCAAAATTACAATAATAATCACGTAAAAATTGTTATTTCTGAGGTACAACTTTTTGTAGTGGGTAAAAATGTTAATCGCGTCAGAAGGTAGAGCAGACATTATAAATTGTCACGTTTGGGTATGGTGACACATGACTATTGTATTTTACTACATAAATGACAGTAGTTTTATATTTATGGCAACACGAGTAAAATTATTATCTGATCGTTCCACAATCAAAAATAAACACGTTAATATTGAAGTTTTCATCTTTGCCATAATGCAAGCCTTAATTTAACCAAAACTCGTAACGAAAAACGGGGGGCCCC